AAAGAGTGCTTTAAAACCTATTTAAACATTTTTAATAGACTTTTACATTGTGCATTCATATAAAAAGTAAAATATGACCAAAATAAGTTGGTCAGGGTACTTCCAGAACTTCTTCATAGAGTCCCACTTTTCAGAATCCCTCTGTGGGGAGTATTTGTGTTTTTCTACATAGCCTTGTCCTCTGTGCCACTGAAGGCATGGGTGACGCAGCATCTCTCAGAAGAGCACTTCTTTGTTGTCTTTGGGATTTTTCAAATTCTGTAAGTTTTTATGCTGTGACTTTGGTGATTTTACCAGAAGGTATCAATAAAAAGTTTGAAGCAATAACCAAGCAATAACCCTTCATCAGATGGTTCTCAAATTGTGTGTGTGACAAAAACGTCGAGTTCAATTATGCCTCTAACAATAATCATATTCACAGATAAGGCAGTGACCTGTATATGCCACGGCTGATTTCAAAGATGTTAAAATGTGAAAAAGAATGTATATCTTAAAATTGTTGAAATACAGTATGTCCATTAGTGCAAGCTTGTGAATTGTGTCAGTCAAATCTATATCTTTCCTTTTTTTACTTTTGGGAAAAATGCCATTTTTATGTATATGTCAATTTCTACTTTATGTATTTTGAGCCTATCTTGTTAGTGGCATACAAATTTAGTCTTATTAGTCATGTAATTAAATGAACAATATGCCATTATCTAGTGACTGTCTTTGATTTCCTATGTTACTGTAGTGGGAGCAACTTAACTTTGGTAAGGGTTTGTCTGGCAAAGCACTCTACCCTCTCACCTTCAATCATTAGGTATTCTTCTATTTTGCATGTGCCTCTTGTAGAGAACATTTAGTTGAAATTTTTTGAGTCCATGTTTTTAAACTTGGTCCTTTTTTCATTTATGTATATTGTAAATTTATGTATATTGTAAATTTCATTTATGTATATTGTAAATCATTTATTGCTGTGTAACATAACAAAGTATTCCAAAGTAAATGGCTTAAAATGACACTGGTTTATTTTGTGCCACCATTCTGTGAGTTGGCTGGCAGTTGATGGACATCTCTAGTCTGGGTCCATGCATGTGGTGGCATTTCAGCTGGGAGCCCATAGCCTTCGTTTCTGTTCTTTGTATGATTCTCGTCACTTCAGTAGTAGCTAGGAACTCGTGCTAACTTAATCTGTTCTTTTAGTGTTACAAGGTAGGTATTATTTCTCTGTGGGTTAAACCACAATTTGTACAGAATTCTTACTTAATGAGTCAGCAGGACCAGTTGCCAAGCCCTTGCTCTGCCAGTGTTCCGTGTGCCCCGTGGAACTGATTTTTCTCTGAGCGGACCAAAACTCTAAAAACCAAAACCAAAACAACAAAAAACCCAAATTATAACAAAAAAGTTAGTATTGATTAGTAATCAAGATAAAATTTAAGGGTAAGTGATAATCACTTTCAATTAGGACTGGGTAGCCAAAAATGTGGGGTTGTGAGTTAGTTGCATGTGATTATTTGAATTCTATCTTATCTTTTTATTTTTTATTTTTTTAAAGATTTTATTTATTTGATAGAGAGCGAGAGAGGGAACACAAGCAGGGGGAGTGGGAGAGGGAGAAGCAGACTTACCACAGAGCAGGGAGCCCAATGCGGGGCTCGATCCCAGGACCCTGGGACCATGACCTGAGCTGAAGGCAGCTGCTTAACCACTGAGCCACCCAGGCGCCCCATCAACTATTACCAAACTTTTGTGCAATGGGCAATTTGTTAGATATCACATTTGACATATTGTGACTAAAACATAGTGAGGGTTTCTGGGTGTGGTTCATACTTGGGGACCATTCCTGTCCCATGGAAGAAGTTGGAGAGCCACTGATTGACTTTATGGAAGACGGTGGGGGTGTGTGTGTGTGTGTGTGTGTGTGTGTGTGTGTGTGTGTGTGTGTGTGTCAGTGTCAAGTTTGCAAGACAGTCCATAGATATTTTATAGCAGTAAACCAAATTGCAGTTTCTTAGTAGATTGGAATCTGTTAGATAACTGGATTATTAATATAATTTCAAAATTAGAAAATACTTAATTTTGGAATACCATCTGCTTATATTTTAATGTGTGATAATCTTCCATTTTTCACTGATTCTGGTTTGTACATTTTCCACATTTTAACATCTCTGAAATGGAGGATTCATCTTACACTTGATGGGATCTTAGATGTTATTAAATATGGTAAATTAATGATTTTTAATTTCTTGATGTAACACTGTGTACTCTATTTCAGTGGGTTATTTTCATAGTTTTTAAATAGTGGTGATTCTAAGATATTCTATAGCTTTAATTCATCAGTCTACCATCAAATGATAGTATGCCACTTTACATCTACGATGAGAACCTTAAATCACTATACTTCGATTTCTCCCCTCCCAGGTTTTGTGCTGTTTTACATATGTTATTAACCTAACACATTTGTCATTATTTTTGCTTTTAACAGTAACAGTAAATCTTTTAAAGAGACTCACATCATGAGGGAACAATGTTTACTCACATAATTACCGTTAATAGTACTCTGTATTCTTTTATGGAAATTCAGATTTTCATCTGCTATAGTTTTTTTTCCCCCCTGCCTGAAGGACTTTTGCATTTCTTATGGCGCAGATCACATAGTGATGAATTCTTTGAAGTTTGTATGTCTGAAAATGTCTTTGTTTCACTTCTTCTTTTTTTTTTAATAGTGAGGGAGGCGGGGGGGCGGAGGGAGAGAGAGAATCTTTTTTTAAAAATTTATTTATTTGGGGGCGCCTGGGTGGCTCAGTCGTTAAGCGTCTGCCTTCAGCTCACGTCATGGTCCCAGGATCCTGGGATCGAGCCCCGCATTGGGCTGCTTCTCCCTCTCCCCCTGCTTGTTTTTCCTCTCTTGATGTGTCTCTGTCAAATAAATAAAATCTTTTAAAAAATTATTTATTTTTAGAGAGAGTGTGATTGGGGGAAGGGGGCAGAGGGAGAGAGAGAATCTCAAGCGGACTCCCCACTGAGTGCGGAGCCTGACAATGGGACTCAATCCCAGGATCCTGAGATCATGACCCAAGCTGAAATCAAGAGCCGACTGCCTAATTGGCCCACCCAGGTGCCCTGGAGAGAGAGAATCCTAAGCAGGCTCCACACCCAGTGCAAAGTACAGCTCTGGGCTTGATCTCACAACCATGAGATCATGACCTGAGTTGAAATCAAGAGCTGGACACTTAACTGACTGAGCCACTCCAGCGCCCCACCCCTTCGTTTTTGGAAGATATTTTGTAGGGTATAGAATTGGGTCTAAGTCTTTGCATAGCCATTTTAGTCAGGATGTAAGTCTAGTCCCTGTTACTCCAACGGGGCTGGAAGCAGAAGATCTCACTTACGTACTTGAATTAAATTCATACAGTCCTGAACCCAAAACATAGACCTCACCACCCATGGTTTTGCTGATCTCCATCTGTGTAGGCTAGAGCTTGAGCGAGGTCAGAACCTAGCCTGAATCCCCTGAATTTGCTCCTGATGCTCCCGAGGAAATGTCACTGGATCATTTTTGTACTAAAATTGGGAATTTTTGACTTCTTTCCCCGTTGCTTTTCCTTCGCGAAAATACTTATATTTGTTGAAACCAGACCTGCTCCTTTGTGGCTAAAGTAGACTCATTCTGCTTTAGAACTTGCAGTGATAATCGTGATAATCCAGCAGTTGAGCTCATCCAGCCTCCCTGTCATTCTGTGGGTGAAGAACTGAGTCCCGGGTGATGAAGGGCCTTGCTCAAGCCTGTCCCTGGAAAGTCAGGATACCATTTGGAAGCTCACGATAGGGGCATTCAACTGTGAAGTGATTTCACTGAATCTTACCAGTAATTTCCAATTAATTTTTTTTAAGATTTTATTTATTTGTCAGAGAGCGAGACAGAACAAGCAGGGGGAGCGGCAGAAGCTGACTTCCCGCTGAGCAAGGAGCCCGATGTAGGACTTGATCCCAGGACCCTGGGATCATGACCTGAGCCGAAGGCAGATGCTTAACCACCTGAGCCACCCAGGCGTCCCTAATTTTTTTTTTTTTTTTTTTTTTAGGAGACGGGTTTTATTGAGGTTGGAAGGAAAAATGTCTTATCATATGTCCTTTTATGTGTACAGTGTGTGTGTGTGTGTGTGTGTATAAAACCATATCCATGTATTAGGTTTTCAATTAAATAGGGCCAGCTTTCTGAGGGGGGAAAAAAAATCAACCATGAGACTTTCCTGTTTTCATCCTACCTAACAGTGTCAACAGGACAAAATGATGGTGATGTCAGGTAGCGGATCCAAACTCTATACTGCCTTCCCTGGGTGCGTTGCTGCGAGAAAAGGTCTTGATAATTAAGGATGCCTGCTCTGCACACCGCTTATCCCATTCTTAGTGTGGTGCGTGCATGTGTGAAAGCACCTGCAGGTCAGCAGATGATGTGACTGCAGAGTTATTTAGGATGCAGAGAGATACTGCTAGAACTTTCCCCCAACAGCTGGAGCCACAGCTGAATGTTGGTGTTCGCTGCACATCCTGGGTGTCAAGAAAAGGAATAGGTTAGTGAGATATTGAAGCCACAGAACCTGGGCAGAGATTGTTCTAGTATTTTGTCGCATATTTCTGTTCCTCTTATTTATTCTTTGTAATGCACCAGGGAGCATCACATGATTTCCTATTAATACTTCAGCCAAATGCCCTAGTAGATACAACCATAAGAGATACTACTGGCCAGCGAAGACTAGAAACTTTTCTTTTTTACTCTCTACTATGACAGATTTCAAACCCTTAGAATATGAAATAGATGATGGCTACTGCTGTGTCCATCAAATAGGCTTAACGATTGTTCTCGTTCACTCAATTTTTTTTTTTTTTTTTTGGCAGAAGTATAGACAGTATCATTTCAGCCCTTAAGTGGGACAGTGTGAAGCTATAAGAATAAGAACCTTATTCTACACCTTATCCCACCTTACAAAATGTTTCTTTCTTTTAGACCGGCAAAATCTGGGAAGCCCTGGTAAAGTAAATGGTCAGTACTTGATTTGTTTAACTCCTTGGGGCCTTAACGGGACAGGAAAAGATGCGCATCAGTGAAGGAGAGTTTAAAGGGTATGGGTAGAAGCTTGAGGGTCTAGCATCAGGTCAGCCTGGTGTGGAGATGCATTCCCCGGCCGTCACTCCTTGCTGTCAGCCAGCCCTCCTCATCTTCTGGGTCGGAGGGAGGGGCCGGAGGTGTTTCTTTCTGAAAAGAAACAAAAATGTCTGTTGGTGATGGCATGACAGCCCTCACCTTGCAGAGTCTTGTTTTCCTCTCTCAACCTGGACAGCTCAGCAGAAGAAAACTGAAAATAAGAAATCTCTGTGGCTGGGGCACCTGGGTGGCTCAGATGGTTAGGCATCTGCCTTCGGCTCAGGTCACGATCCCAGGGTCCTGGGATCGAGCCCCGCATCCGGCTCCTTGCTCAGGGGGAAGCCTGCTTCTCCCTCTCCCACTCCCTCTGCTTGTGTTCCTGCTCTCGCTATCTCTCTGTCAAATAAATAAATACAATCTTTAAAAAAAAAAAAAAAGAAATCTCTATGGCTTATTTAGGGAGGGGGATCTGGCCAGCTTTTTTCCTTCTTTGCCCTTGACTGTTGGTTTTAATGACTAAATCGCATTGAATTTTCTGAGCTGAAATACACTAGGTGTTGTCCTATATGAAAAAAGATCTTTCTCTGCTTTATCTAAATTCTCAGAGTTGTAACTACTTTGTGGAAGAACGTAGTCTGCACGTCCACTCAAGGGCCAGGAGCTCTGCCTGGCTTTTAAAAAATGTTTTCATTGAAGATTTAAAAATTAAATTTTCATTTGATAGCAAGATGAGTATTTGTTCACGAAAGAGCATACTACTCCTTTCAAAGTATCCTGTATACCCCTTTTCTTTCCTCCTAAGAAGTAAATATTATTGTGAATTCCCTATTTATCATTCCAGTGATTGTCTTTATTGTTACTATGTATATATTTGTATACCCAAACAACATATTGTTTAATTTTTTTTGTTTTTGAAATTGATAGAAAGCGTCCCTCTCCATATTCTTTTCCTGAGATGATCCACTTGTTTGTGCTTGTATGTGATTTATTTTTACCATGGTTCGGGAGTCTCTTGCCTGAATGTACAACGTCTCTTCCCATCCTTTCTCTCCGTTTTCTTCTACAAAGTGTGCTTCTTTGACATTATCATATCTTCTGTTGCAGCGCTCAAGAATTTAGTACATACACACCTAGGAGTAAAATCACTGGTCCATTGCTTAGGCACATCTTCGATAGGAACCAAATGGTTTTCCAAAGTGGCCATGCCGGTTTCCACTCTGAGCAGACTTGTTTTCTCTCTTTCTCTCCCCTTCCCCCCCCCCCCCCCCCCCCCCCCCCCCGTTGGGTGATTGTGACATGCGTGTCTTTCTTCAGGTTTTTACATTTCTCAGGTATGTATGCATCAGGCAGTGGTTCCACAGGGCTGTAGTGGGGGAGACGAGCATGTCCCTGGCTTCCCACATGTCTTGCTCCCCAAGGTGTAACCACGTTGACCTCTTTGTTTCTGTTCTGGTATCTGTTTGGCATGTTAGAGGCTTATCTCAGGAGAGTGCAAGGCTAGAGGTTACTGGGAACTCTTGAGTGTGTCAGGAGGCCTCGTTGACCGGTTTCTCTGTGGGGTGATCTAGGTGTGCTGGTTGCTGGTGGACAGCCCCCCACCCTGCAAATCAGTCTCTCTGCATCTAAAGCTGGTCTGATTCTGCAGAGAAGACCCCCTCCTACCTCTAGTCCAGGATGGTGCAGGTGGGTAAAGGGTGGTTGCCAGTAGTCCGGGAGCCCCATGGGGAGATGGGTGGTGGTGGTGACGGGGTGTCAGCCCGGCGCACATCCCTGGTCTTTGGTGTGGTGCACTCTCGTGTGTGGGGTGACCCCTGGGCCCCCTGACTGTGTAGAATCTTCTATGGAGCTGGAGGAGATGAAGGGGTCCCATAGCTCTCACACAGCCTCATCCAGTCCTCTCATGAGCTTACTCCTCTTCTCAGCCCGCCCCCAGACTGACCTGACCAGTTCCCAAGCCCTTGGATGCCCAAGGAGTCAGGTTATGCCTTGGTCTGCCCCACCCCCCCGCCCCCACCCTGTTGGCATAAGATTCTTCTTGCTCACCTTAGTTAAGCGAGTCACTGCTGGTCCAGTCAGTCTTTTAGCTTCAAAACGTGTTGCTCTCCCCACCCTCATTATCTTTGTCCTCATGGGTTTTTGAGTTTTAAGAAATCGCCTTACTATGTATTCAGTGAGCTTTACCACCATGTTAGTAGAGGTCTCTCCCTGAGATTTGAATTTGCATTTCCCCGACGATTAAGAGAGTTGATGTCTTTTCACATGGCCATTGATAGATTCCTTTTCAGTTTTGTGTCTGTTCAAGTCTTTTGCCCATTTACTAACCTTGGTTTTAAAATCTCTCCCCCTTCTTTGTAAGAGTTCTGTATTCCATCCAGAATACCAACCCTTTGATGGTGTTTGGCTTAACTCTACATGGTGTGGAATTTGGTGACCAAAGGGTCTTAATTTTAATGGTGAATTTATTGATATTTTTGTGATTTACATTTTTTCCTATCTTGTTTAAGAAATCCTTTCCTACTCTGAGGTTGTAAACAAGTTCTCCCCTTTTCTAAAAATTGTGGTGTTGCCTTTCTATTTAAGCCTTTGTTCCACTTGAAGTTGGTTGAAAATACGTATGATAAACAGGGATTCAGCCTCAATTTGTGCACAAGGATAACCGATGTATCACACAGCACGTGTCACTTATTGACATGTCCACCCTGTCTTTTTGAGCTGCGGTGTCAGCTCTGTTACAAAGCAAGCTTCTGTCTGTCTGGGGGGACTTCACTGGCTTGGCTTCTGGTGCATCCCTCAGTGTGTCTACCCCTGCACCATGACCATATTCTCCTCATTTCTGGAATCTGTGTGCTCTCTTGCTTTTTGATCAGATTCTCCATCTTTTGTTTCTTTAAAGAAATTAATGAAGTAGGACTTAAATGCACAATAGAGGAGTATTAAAAATCAAAAGCTTCTTCTTTGAAAAGCTTAATGAAATACTAGTTGCAGCACAATTAAAGAAAAGAGTACAGACATGGTAGGAATGGGGGAGGTTAGTCAATAAGAGGATGTTATTAACAATTCTCTGTCAATAATAATAATACAAAAATTCAGTTACCCACGTACTGGCTACCCTCCCCCCACTGCACTGACACTTCCCTGAGTTGTTCTGGAATGTGTTTCCTGCCATCCAGCCTTCTCCGGAGCAACTGCTATCCAGAACTTTAGTGCGCTTATGTTCTGTACATACATGCACGTCTCACCTCCAAAGCGTGTGCTTGACTTTCAGCCTCCCCAAACGGCCGTATACAGTCTCCAGTCTGCTTTACCTTTTCTGTTCTGAGCGGCTCACCTGTATTGATAGACTGAGTTCAGCCATTTTTTATTGTTGCGTGGGATTCTGTTTTATAAATGTACCACCATTTATTCATTATTAGAGGATATTTGGGTGGTTTTCCTATTACAAACAAGGCTGCTATGAATATATTACATGGGGTCTACTTGCTAGGGTTCTTTTGGGGCTAGATGCCTACCTACAGACCCGCTGACGTGTTGATGTGCCATCTTCAACCTCACTAGACGTTGCCAACATGGGCTCCAGACTGGTGGTAGTTTAATTGTTTGATTTTTTTTTTTTTCTTCCAGTGCCCGAAGACCTCTCATTAGAAGAGAGAGAAGAACTTTTAGACATTCGTCGAAGAAAAAAGGAACTTATTGATGACATTGAGGTAAAAAAAAAACAACAAACCAAAAACTCCCCTTAGTTTTTGCTTTTAGGCAAAATAATCACTAAAATAATTCATGAAAAGGTAAAAATTGGGCATCTCATATGTCTGTATCCTAACCCGGGAAGGGAGTGAAAGGGTTACCCTAGTTGGTAAAGCAGATTGTGCTCACCAGGCCGTGCGGCCACGGAGCTGGAGCCCACAGTGAGGGCACTTGTCGACGATGTGGATGGCTCTCTCAGGTGGAAGAAGGCCCTATTCGTTTGCAAAAATCCCTAGCCCCCAGAGCCTGCCGTCCCGTTTCTGGCGTGCGGACCCCCGAGCGCCGACTAGCTGGTGGGGACAGAATGACAAAACACGGCCGAGCACCGCACTTGTCGCGGCTGTGTCCTCGGAGCCCGGCGCGCCAGGCCTCAACCTCAGGCTCAGACCGTGGTGGACATTATTGAGGAGACCAGCACTGCTTGCACTTGGGGTTTCCGTGGAAAGTTAGTCAGATGTGTGGCTCTTCTTCGAGAAGCTCCCGAATCTTTGTCACGTCAAAATGAATGTGGCCTCACTGGCCACTTGCTGCAAGACCAAGCCCTCAGACAGCACCTCCTTCCTAGGAGCCCGCATCTGAGGTCTGAACTTCCTTGGTGAACAAAACAGTAGTGTCTTAATAACAGTGTCTTTGTATTTGAAAGGTAATCTGTGGAACTTTTTCTTGTAAGGTTACCCTTCCTTCGTGTAAAAATCACTGTGTCCCAGAATGGGTGCTTTGGTTGCAGAGTAAGAATATATTTTAAGATTTGTCGTCCTGTTTGGACATTAGCGACAGTGGTGCCCGTGGAGGCTCAGGTAGCTGTAGTGGCCTCACCTTTGAGTTGGGAGCACTGAGGCCCAGGGAGGGTAAGAGCGTTGCCGGAGGTCCCACAGCCAGTAAGTGGTGGAGCCGTGCGGAGGCACAGGGGAGCCTGTCCCTTCTGGGGTTCTTGGCATATCCGAGCCCCAGGTGCGTTCTGCTGTCACCTCCTGGGCTCTGTCCCTGCCGCTCCGTCTCGCACACAGACTGATGGCTCGGGACCCGACACTGGCCTCGGCACCTTTGCCCTGGTCTTCCCGAGAGGAGAGGAAGACCATGGCCGTGAAGAAGGCAGGGAGGGTGGCCGGAGGCTGGGGAGGAGGAGCTGAACAGCCGCAGTGAGTGAGCGAAGGCCTCCCCGCTTCCCTTTGCTCTTGTGTTTTGCATACACATACTCTAGAATCTGCCCGGTGGGCCCCTCCGAGCTTGTTCTGGCGACAGGTGGACAGCTGACGATCGTGCTTTCTCCTGAGTTGGGGCTGCTTGGACTGGATGGAAAGTACTGGTTTTCCCGTCCACACGAGGCCTCAGGGAAGCTTGTGTGTCTGGGAGGCTGGAATTTCTCGAGTCTAGGAGGGGATGGTAAAGAGCCCCACCGCCAAATGTCTGTCTTCTTTTTTGGCAGAGGCTGAAATATGAAATCGCCGAAGTGATGACAGAGATTGACAATCTGACTTCAGTGGAGGAGAGGTACGCCGTTGGTGCCGCACGGCTGAGTTACTCACCTCTTCCCTTCCTGCCTCAGCTGCCGTGTGACCACAGCGGGCGCTGGGTGGCTGGGATCACAAAGTGGGGCGGCCTTTGTGGGGCTGTTGGGTCCTCTGCTCCCCACCCCTCACCCCTTCCTGCTCTTTGCGGAGGAGTCGGGGCTGCTCTGGGGGCTGCGGCTCTCCGCTCCCTTCCCTGGAAGCACAGCTCCTCCAGATTAACCTCTGCAGAAGTAGCCTCTCTGTACAGCAGGAAACTGTGCTTTCCTTAAATCGCTGTTTGTCATTATTAGCTTTTTCTGTAGAAGGAATCAAGTGTAGGAAAGAGCCCCGGCAGCCACGGGCCACCTCTGTGGTGGGGGGTGGAGGGGCGGGGCTGCAGGGGTGGAGGGCAGAGGGGCGGGGGAGCCTGGGTGATTTTGTGCACGGAGGTGCTGGCCCAAGTGCTGGGGAGACCGCCTGCCCTCTTGCAGTTGGTGCAAACAGTTCACTAATGACTTAACTCTTTGAAATGCATAGCAAAACTACCCAGAGGAACAAGCAGATAGCTATGGGGAGGAAGAAATTCAACATGGATCCCAAAAAGGTAAGCCAACGTTCCAGTGTTCTGGCCTGCAAGAGACTGTGGGGTTCACCGGTTTGGTTGGCTCTCTCATTTTGGACAAAGGTGGTCGGTCATACCCCCTCACAGGTACTGAGAGCGGAAGTTAAGTTTGTATCACGTAGGGGCTGCTGCCAGTGAGTGGGGTGAAGCACAAGTGCCCGTGGCCCTCATCCCTGGACGCGAAGACCTTTCTTTGCGTGTGAAGCTCCGGGTGAGGCCCCCCCGCCCCCGGCCCCGGCAGCGGCTGGCGTGGACAGGCCCTCGGCGTGGCCAGGCCGAGCGGTGTGTTCTCCCACTGCGGCATGGCCCACAGCCCGGGGAGCTGGTGGGCAGGGCTGCACCCTGGGTGTCTGCTGGGGGGTTAAATGGTTCAAGTCTGGGGACTTTGTTCCTCCCATTCACTTTCGAGAGAAGACGTCTGCATGAAGGACTGGGAGCTCTCCTGATTGAAGGCAATACCAGGTCTTTCCTCCAGTTGGATTTTCTAGGAAAACACCCGAAAATAATGAAAGCTGCAACATGCAGCTACTTGTCTTTGAGGTTGAACCAGAAGACTTAGCAGAACCTGTAAACGCTTTGTGGAATATGGCTCAGCTGCAAGACCGTTAGGTTTTGAGACAGAAGAGCGGATCTGAGTTAGCCACCAGGGCTCGAGGTCCCAGAGAGGAATGCCGTGTCCCCGGAGGCTTCTAACTGCGGAGCTGACTTCATTCCACAGTGATCTTTAGGTGGCATTCACATCACACACCTTCCTTGGGATTTTATTTATTTATTTTTGGCATTGAGCCTCTGTGCTAATTAATGATTTGTTCATTCAGTAAATGTTGATTGCAAGAATTGCACTGTGCAAGGTCTAAGATCTGTAAACTTGCATTTCTAGGTGCAAGCACAGTTGCAAAATGTCAAGAAATGGCTTGCACATGTGGACTCTCCTCAGCCTCACCACGGCTGCCGCCGGAGGAGGGTCTTTGTTTAGCTGGAGTACTCCCACCTCCATGAAAAATTTCCTGTTGCTTCCCGATTTTCTGCTTAGGGGGCATCCACCAGCCCCAAAGTGGAATGCAGCTGTCCCCGGGAATGATTTTGTGAATTTGGTAATGACTTGAGGTTTGGAGCTAGAAGCGTTTTTTGTTGTTTTTTCCCTTTCTTGAGGAGTTGAACTTAGAGAGTTGGCTTAACCAGCAGATTTGATAAGCATTGGCAGCATCTCGAGAGATACCTCACGAGTGGCTGTTTTGAAAATCGGACCTTATGTTTTGAGGTGCAGTGCAGGACAGCACGCCAACAAGTCCGGGGATGAGTCCACGTCCACCGCACGAGACGCGCACACCGACACTCTGGTGCTTCGGCGGTGCTGTCGCTCTGCTCGGCTCTAGCCCGTCCTCTTGTGCTGCGCACAGCTGGCGTGAGATGTGCCGCCAGGCGGGCTGACCCACGCTTCCTGAGAACTTGCCACGCATCGGGAACTGCTAACGAAGCACTGTAATTAGTACACTTACCCTTACGGGGTGGGTTCCCTTTTAATGCCTGCGGTGCAGTTGGGGGGAATGAGGCACAGAGCCTCTGAGACGTGCCCAGTGTCCGGAGCGAGGAATCCACCTCAGACTCGGGCCCGTGACCACCGCACTTCACTGGACTCTTGTGGGAGCCTGGGGTTGGTTTGTCGGCAGCCCTGGGAGTCCAGCCCTGTGGGGTGTCTCCACCTCCAAGTCCAAGGAAGCAGCTGCTTTATCTGCTTTGCCTGGGCCGTGGCCGGCTGCCCTGCAGGCCTCATTTTGCCTAGATGCCTCTCCACCTGAGAGATTTTTAAGGTATTAATTATTGGTGCTACCCAACAACTTATTTGTAATTATGGTAAATTTAGTCTGCATGTGGCCCTTTGCTGGGGAAAAATAACGAGATTTCCCTTGTCTTATAGACGATTATAGCACTCGTCGGAGTCCGCTTGGGCCACCATAACAAAATACCGTGGACTGGTGGCCCAAACACTAGACATTTACTCGTTCACCGTTCTGGAGGCTGGAAGTCCAAGGTCAGGCTGCCAGCATGACTGGGTTCCGTGAGAGCTCTCTTCCCCACTGACAGGCGGCCTCCTCACTGTGTCCCCAAACGGCCCAGAAGAAGCTGGAGAGCGCCCCCTGGTGTCTCTTCTTAAAAGGGCAGGGGTTCCCTCAGATCAGAGCCCCGCCCATATGACCTCGTCTGACCCTGCCTCCCAGGGCCCCACTTCTGAACATCACATTGGGGGCTAGAGCTTCAAGATAGGGATCTTTGGGAGACTCAGACGTTCAGTCCAAAACAGCCCTGGGTAATCTCACACACGGCGTTGTGAAACAGGCTCGAATCAGAGACTTTCAGGCTAGCAGGAAGTAAGTCACAGAGTGGTGACATTTTGAGCGGGAGCTTCTGTTTTTGCAGGTACATTAGATACACAGAGGCAGCGCTTGGGGTTAGAAATGAGTAAGAGGAAAGGTTGATTCGATCAAGGAAGCAGGAAATATTCACAGGCTCTCTTATTCCCAGTTTCCTAGAAATGCCTTTAAAAATATACGAATCTGTAAGAAGCAGGAGTTTGCTCAGTCGACTAGAAATTGAGGAAACCCTGAAAGATGAAAGATGAACGGTAGCCCGAAGCACACTCGGGAAAGATTTGCTCTGGGACGGGAGAGCCACATCAGGGGCTCGGCTCACTTGGGCAGCAGGTGTGGGACGTGGGACCAGGGAGGGGACCTCCATATTGTTCACCCTTGGCTGAGCTTGCACGGAGCGGTGCTGTGTGCCCCCAGGTGGGAGACGCAGGTGTCTTCTCCACTGGCCTCACCAAGGAAGAGGAGGAGAAACACCCGCTCCCAGAGACCAGCTTCTGAGCGCCCCAGCTGGCCGCGTCACCTGCTCCAGAAACAGACGGCATTCGGTTGGGCTACCAGAGAATCTGAAATACAAAGGTCATCACCCAACCAGGAATCACCAAATGTATGAGCTCCTTGACCCCATGAAAGAGACGTGAAACACCACAAACAGAACTAACACAGGAGGAAACATTAAAAGTAGGATGTTTTGTATATTGTAAATCTCATCAGAGATGGTGGGGTGTTGGCTTATCCATGGTGCAGAAAATGGAGAGTTGTGGAAAAGGTCCGTGGAAGTGAAGAACCGACACCCTCTGAAAACCCACAGCCCGGGGCTGGGACGGGGACACGGGCAAGACGGATCGTGGTGCTCCTGTTCCCCACTGCTCTGAGCAGAGCCACGGGAGGCAGGTCTGGTGGCTCAGATGTCATCGAACAAAAGTCCCAGGAGGAGAGAATAGAAGACAGAGTGGAGGATGTATGTCAAAGAAATACTGGAATATTTCAGAGCTAGATTAAGATAAAATACCCAAAATCAAAGGGCTCACCAAATGCCAAGCAGGATAAAGTTTTTCAGACACTGATCTGTAGAAATATCAAGTAAAATACCAGAAAACTTACGGATAAAGAGAAATTCACTGACTTTCCAGGAAGGAAAGACCAGATTACCTAAGAAGAAACCAGAATCACAACAGGAACGCTGGATCAAAGACAGCAGGGAAACTCTTTTCCAGGGTCGGAGGAAACGTGATTTAAAACCTAGAGCTCTCTGGGGAGGCCGGTGTAGACCCGCAGAAAACCAAATAAAATAAAAATAATAAAACCTAGCATTCTGTGTATCAAGACCCATGTGAGGAGGCAAGTGAAGACATTCAGATGTGCAAGGACTCACAAAAGGAACTGCTAACACGTTCTATGAGCTCTAGAAATTGTGGAACAGTGTGTCTATAAACAGGACACGAATCCAGGGTGCGGAATAAAACGGGAGAGACACGAAGAAACCACCTAAACATACGGTTAAGTCTAAATGAGAGCCTGATTGTTGAAGGAATGTTTTAAAAATCAAAGTCCCAGATTACCTCAATACAGGTGACCCCTGAGCAGCACTGGGTTTGAGCTGGGAGGGTGGAATTTTTTTTTTTTTTTTTTTTTTTTTTAGTACAAACAGTACAGTACTGGAAACATATTTCTCTTCCTTACAACTTTCTTAGTAACATTTTTTCTCCAGCTTACTATCGTAAGAATGTTACTATAATATTGTGATGCTATTGTAAGAATGCAGTATATAACATATAAAATGTGTTAATTGACTGCCATGGGTAAGGCTTCTGGTCAACAGTAGGCTACTAGTAGATTTTGGCGGAGTCAAAAGTTACATACAGGTTTTCGACTTGGGGGGGTATGGGAGCCCATAACCCCTGCGTTGTTCAAGATCAGCTGTGTGTAAGTAGCAAGGGACAAGGGAAGCGGGGAAGTCAGTGTTGGCTAAGGTTTTCAAGATGTTCATGGATGAATGTAAGTTGAAATATTAAAATTTTGTTTTTTAAAGATTGATTTGTCAGAGCGAGTGAGCACAAGCATGGGGAGGGGCAGAGGAAGAGGGAGAAGCAGACTCCCCGTTGAGCAGGGAGCCCGACGTAGGACTCGATCCCAGGACCCTGGGATCATGACTTGAGCCGTCTTCGGAGACGCTTAACCAACTGAGGCACCCAGGCATCCCTAAGTGTTAAAATCTTAAGAGCAACCACTAAAAATAGGGATAAGATAGGATTTTTAAATTACTAGGGAAAATTGAATGAAGAAAACTTAATTCAACAGAAGGCTGAAAAGACATGAGAAATACCCAGCATATGTGAAGGCTCAGGAAATGAGTGGTAACAAATCCATAATCACCATAAATTTGGGCTCAGTTACCTCTTAAAAGGCACCTTCACATTAGTTTGAAGAAACAGCAATAAAGTCCAGATGTGTTCTGACTGAGACACACCTGGAACAGAGCACCAAGGTTGAAAACAAGGAATTAGGAAAAGATACACGAGATGTAATGGGTTGAATGGTGCCCTCTTCCAGTAGATTCTACTGTTTGGTTTTCTAAATGATATTTTTAAAAAGATTTTATTTATTTATTTGAGAGAGGGAGAGGGAGATCACAAGCAGGGGGGTAGGGAGGGGAAAAGGTAGAGGGAGAAAAGCAGGGTCCCCACTGAGCAGGGAGCCCAACTTGGGGCTCGATCCCAGGACCCTGGGACCATAGCCGACGGCAGACGCTTAACCGACTGAGCCACCCAGGCATTGCTTCTAAATGGTATTTTAAAACATGGACGTTGTCTAATAATACTGGAACATTTATTAGCATTTACCTAGTGTACTCGGATCCCGGCCGCTGTAATGACCACAAACTCGGTGGCCTGAAACAACAGAGGCGTGTTGTCTCGTAGGCCCTGGGGCCAGAAGCCCGAGATGCAGGTGTGGGCAGGGTGGGTCCCTTCGCGAAGCCCTGGCGGAGAGTGCGCTCCGGGCCTCCCTCCCAGCTCGCCGTGGCTGCTGACTGTAAAGTCGGCCCCGCTGCCCAGAGCTCCCCTCCCGCACAGAGCCCTGGGTGCTGGGTGCGGACGGCACCGGCACTCTTGTCCCTTGCCTGGTTTCTGGGGCCTTGCTGGACAGGTGCGTACTCGGGATTGGAGTGCTTCCTTAAGGAATGTGCACGTCGTCCCTAGTAGAAGATGATCCCAGGGGGGCCTGGACTCACTTGAGTTCCCACCAGAAATAGATGAGAGTTGATTTAGGATCATCAGACATACTGATTTTTTGGTAAACTTTATTTTTTGAAGAACAGCATATGGTGCACAAACTTTGAATGCACAGCGTGATGAATTTTTACACATTAAAATCCTTGTGTAACCCAGAGCAAGAGGTGTTGGTAGGGTATCAGGAGTGTCTTTCTGGTGTCTCCTCCTAGCGAACAAATTCTGCCCCGTCACCGTAGAGCAGGGCTGCCTGTTGTAAAACTCTAAATATAAATAAGGTACGTTCCGTGTCGTTCTTTTATTCCGTGTCACACCTGTCAGGTGCATCATGTTGTGCATTCTCGTTGCTGCATAGTGTTCCATCGTATGGAACATACCAGAATAGGATTTAGAGCTTCTCTTATTGTTTGGATGTTGTTGGGTTTCCAGTTTGGGGGAAATTCTAAATAAGGCTGCTGTGGACCTTCACATGTTTGGAAAAAAAGCAGACTCTCAGAGGGACCATGTGGTGTGAGGGAGCCCAGGTCCTGGGCACAGAGAGAGGTAGCTGGAAAATCTCTGAATTTGTAGAAAGAGAGGCAAATAGAGGACGGAAATTCCCTTACCAGCTTTGTCAACCTGAGTTTGGAAACCAGCTCAGAGGCTGTGTCAAGAGGTACATTTTCGCCATTCTCAGGGCTTCTCAGGAGAGGAGCAGGGCTACTTCGGGCCAGGGCAGCGCCTCTGCAGCCTTTCATTGTCACCTGTGCCCTTGAGGGCCTTCAAGTGGGTGTGGATTTTCACTGGCTTCAGCTCGGTGGCACAGAGATGAGTCACCGTGGTCAGCTACAGCTCACAGAAGGCCTCATGAACACCGCTTGCACGAGGGACTATGTTCTCCCACAGCAGGGGTGGCTGCAGGGGCTCCAGTGGCTCCCAAGTGACAGGAGCCCAGCCCTGTGTTCATCCCGGCCTTTCCCTCATCCACTGGCCGTGAGGGTGCCGGTCGTCACATCTACATTCCAGGCAGGAAGGAGGGAGAAGGAGCTGCTCACGAGTCCCTTTTGGTCAAGAAAGCAGCAGCTTCCCCAGGTCCTCCTTCCAGACTTCTTTCTGTGACCAGATCGGGGTCACAAGGGCATTGCTAGTTGCAAGGGGAGCTGGGAACATGGTTACTTAGCGAGGAATGGTAAGGAAAGAGGGGAGCTTGGGGAGGGCGTGGGTTGGCCAACCCCAAAGGACGTGCTCCTCTTGCACACACGGCAGATCGTTCTCCCGGGCTTGGGAAATTCGGTGTTATTACCTCTGCTTTTATAATCTCTAGTACCTTCTTTGTAATGGTTTGCTCGGTAACCCGTTTATTTGTCTTTTAGCCTGTTAAATTGCCAGGAGGAATGAATGTGCTTTCCTCTGATGGGCAAAAAAATGTAGTCTGGGGTGTGAGAATCAGATTGTCCCGGTATATTTGCCATGTCCCAGCCAGTAAGATCATTACTCTAGATGTATTTCTCTCTGAAAAGTGAGTCTGGGCGACCCGCCTAACCAGAGCTTCCTTTCTTATGTCCCTCTTCAGGGAATTCAGTTTCTAATAGAAAATGACCTGCTGCAGAACTCCCCAGAAGACGTAGCCCAGTTCCTGTATAAAGGAGAAGGCCTAAATAAGACCGTAATTGGGGACTATCTAGGTGAAAGGTAAGTTGAAGGAGAACCAGCAGCCCGACCTGGGCCCGCCCTCCCCATCGGGGTCTGTCACAGTTACACATGGGCGTAAGGTGCACGTGCCGCTCCCCACGACTGTGTTGGCCTAGCGCAGTCCCATGCTGTCTCTGCCCTTGCGGGGAGAGAGGTGTGGGTGCTCTGGGGCCAGGTAGGGTCTGTGATCTCTGGAAACCTTTACTCAGGGAACCATGGCAGAACGGAAACTGGTGCTGCCTCTTCTCTGTACCTCAGAAAGCGTCTTTTTTTTTTCTTCTTCTAAAGATTATTTATTTGAGAGAGAGAGAGTATGCACTTGCGAGCATGTGCAAGGGAGTAGGGGCAGAGGGAGAGGGAGAGAGAATCTCAAGCAGACTCGAGCACAGAGCCTGACACAGGGCTTGATCTCATGACCCTGAGATCATGAGCTGAGCTGAAATTGAGTTGGATGTTCAACCAACTGAGTCACCCAGGTGCTCCCTCAGCATCTTAATCTTCTTTTCATGTTTTGCCCAGAAATAGACCAGATTTCTCAGTGGTTTTCTTCCCCCTGTTGCTTGGGGATATGAGTGAAGGTGGGAAGTTATTAATTTTTTAAATGGAGAGCACTGGACAGATTTACATTCCCAGCCTTCTCTAACTAAGGGTCCATTTGCTGTTCTTAGCAGAGGTTAGGGCAGGAATCTAAGGCAGCACATCCCCTGAGTCAAAGATCAAACAAGAGTGTTTTTAAATAAGAGCCCAACGGTTGCTCAACCGGGGTGGTTTCTGTTTCTAGCTCTTTATTAAAAATAATTGATCAAAGGTGGAAAGCAGAACACTTCCTGACTCATTCTGTGTGGCCAGTACTACCTGACGCCGTGCCGAACCAGAGATGTCACAGTTAAAACAAACCAACCAACCCTGCAGAGCAGTACCTCCTATGACTACTGAAGCAAAAGTCCTCAACTAAATATTAGTAAATCAAATCTAGCAATATATAAAAATGACTATACACCAATACATTCACCCCCATGCATGCATTCATTATCCCACGAATACAAGGTTAGTTCAGTGTACAAAAGTCAAAGTAATATACAGTATCAATATAATAATGAGCAAAACTCACATGATCATCCCAGTAGATGTTGGAAAGGCTTTTGACAGCATTCACTGCTTCAAGACAAAAGCGTTCAACAAACCAGGAAAAGAAGGGAACTTCCTTAATATGATGCAGGGCACCTGTGCAACCCACAAGTTGACTTTATGCTTGCTTCTAAGAGCAAGAACAAGATAAGGTTGACGCTCACCAATTCTCTTCAACATGGTACTGGCAGTTCTAGGGCAAGAAAATGAAATTAAAAGCATCTAGTTTGGAAAGGAAGAAATAAAACTTTGCAGAAGACAGAATTGTGTATATAGAAAATCCTGAAGAATCACTAAAAGCATTAGAATAAACAAGTTCAGTAAGGCTGCAGGATACAAGATCAACATGTAAAATTCAGTCGTACTTCTAAACAGTAGCAATGAGCAAGCTTGGAAAAGATATTAAAAAAAACTCCATTTTATAATAGCATTAAAAGGAATAAAATACTTGGGAATAAATTTAATAAAAAGTACAAAATATTTACTCTGAATTACAGAACTTTGAAAAAAATGAAAAGACATGTAAATGGAAAGATATCCCATGTTCATGGATTGGAACTTTGATCTACAGACTTAACTCATTCCCTATCAAAGTCCCAGCTAACTTCTTTGTAGAAGTTGACAGACTCATCCTAAAATTAATGTAGAACATCAGGGGACCCAAAATAGCCACAATCTTGGAAAAGGACAAAGTTGCAGAACTCACATATAAGACAGACTAAAAACAGTAATCAAGATAGTGTGGTACTGGTGTAAGGATAGACTTCTAGATCATGGAGTAGAATGGAGAATCTAGAAATAAACCCTTACATTTATTGTCACGTGATTTTCGACGAAGGTGTCAGGACAGTTTAGTGGGGGAAAGAACAGTCTTTTCAACGAATGGTCTGGGACACCTGGATATCCACATGCAAAAGAATACCATTGGACCACTCAGGGTACACAAAAATTAAACTGGATCAAATACCTGCATGTGAGAAGGAAAACTATAAAACACTTAGAAGAAAACACGGGGGTAGATCTTTGTGACCTTGGATTAGGCAAGAGTTTCTTAGATGTGACACCAAAAACAAACAGTAAGAGAAAAACGTAGGTAAACGGGACATCGTCAAAATCGAAAACTTGTGTTGAGAAGGACATCATTAAGAAGGTGAAGAGGCAATCCACAGACTAGGAGAAATTTTTACAAGTCACAAATAAATCTAGGAAGGACTTCTATCTAGAATGTATGAAGAACTCTTACAACTCAATAATAGGACAGCTTAATTATAAAATGAACCAAGCATCTGAATGGACATTTCTCCAAAAAAGATCCATAAATACATGATAGGACCATAAGCACACAACTGGATGTTCAGCATCCTTAGCCCCCCATCAGGGAGCTGCAGATCAAAACCACAGCGAGCTACCACTTCACACCCACTAGGATGTTTGTAATAATAATAAAAAGATAAGAAGCGTTGCCCGGGACGTGGGAAAATCAGAGCCCTCACATGCTGCTGGTAGGACGGGAGGTGCCGTGGCTGTGGGAAGTAGTTGGCAGGTCTTTAAAATACGACCCAGTCATTCTTCTCCTAGGTGTTCACCCAAGAGCAGTAAAAACGTACATCTGCACAAGCACAAATGGTTGTAGCCACGTGATTCTCGGTAGCCAAGAGGTGGAAGCAGTTCCGATGTCCATCAGCTCGGATGTCCCTCAGCTGGTGGATGGTCAAGATGTGGTTCATCCAGACAATGGACTGTTAATTGGCAACAAGGAGCAGGGTGCTGGTGCATGCTGCCGCGTGTTGTGTGACTCCATTTGTGCAAAGTGTTTGGGCTAGGTGAACTTAGGGAGACAGAAGGCCGACTGGTTGCCTGCGGCTGGCAGATTGGGAGATGGGGTTTCTTGTGGGGGTAATGAAAGTGTTCAGAAACTTGATTGTGGTGATGGTTGCACAGGTCTGAGAATATATTACAAGCCATTGAATGGTACACTTGAAATAGGACAGTTTTATGGAATGTGAATTATGTTTGAACAAAACTAAAAAAAAAAACAAAAACAAAAAAACAACAAAATCCACAAAAAACCTGAGCAGTGGCCCAGGGGTGGCAGCACCTCATTGAATCGCCTGTGCCACGAGGGCCAGAGTCTGAGTCCGCCATCGTTGTGTGGTTGTGTGGCAGGTGCAAGATGAACGATGACATTTGTGTAATACGCAGCCTGGTGGCTCCTGCAGTCGACAAGTACCACGTGCCTGCAGGTTTTGAGTTCCATAAAATACCAAGTTCCAAGTCTGTGCCAGGCTCTGTTTGAGGCACATGGGTTGTGTTGTCAAAGAAAAAAAAAAAAAGATGGACTCATCCGCTTGTGGAGCTATACTCTGCTGGACCGATACAGGCAATACGTAATAAGCATAATAAATGTGGAAACCATTTCTCCCGTATATTAGAAGGTGTTGGGGCAAAAAAGTGGAAGCGCGTAAGGGCGTTGGGCGAACTGCGGTTAGCAGTTAGGCTAGGCTGGTCAGGGTTGTGTCATTGAGAAAGTGACATTTGTGCAAGGACGTGAGGGGGACGAGGGTGCTCTGCAGGCAGGCGTTGGGGGAGAGGACAGGCAAGAGGGGCAGTGTGGCTGGAGCGGGGGCGGGGAGGGTGGCAGAGGCTCTCATGGTGATGACGGGCCCCTCTGCCCATTGCTGGGGCGGGGGAGGCTTCCCAGTTGTGGAAGGACGTGGTCTGATTCACAGCTCAAAGCCATGGGGACTTGGGGGGGGACATCCAGGTGTGACGGTTCAGAGAGGGGTCCGGCAGGAGCCAGGAACCCCAGAGCGGCAGGCTCGCAGGTACTGTTTGCATCACAGGTGAGTGTGGCTGGAGAGGAAGTGTGGACCGAGGACCGAGCCTCAGGGGCCACCCTCCAGGGGGCCAGGCTGGCAGCGGGAGTAGGGGTGCAGCTGCCCCTCTGATCACTTGCCTTCTCTGGTCCCGCCTTGGGGTCTTCACGCCACCTGCAGCCTGTACACCTGAGCCGAAGAAGGAGCCAGCTCCGCATCCCGCGCTCGGCGAGCCCTCCCAGCCAGGCTGCCTGCACCGCTGGGGCTGGGACGGTGGGCGCTTGCCTTTCATGCCGACCCCCGTGTCTCTAACCCTGCGGCTGCTGCCACGGCTTGGGTGCTCAGCACGGTGTCGGGCCCACTCCTCAGTCTTCACTGCTGCCTGCCCAAGACGGGCCGGGTGCTCACTGCCTCCTGGGACGGCCCCCCCAGCACCCACATCTGCGCGGACCCCCAAGGCCTCAAGACAGCAGCTCACCCCAGAGAAAGGAGGGGAACGTCGCAACACGTGCTCTGTGCCTGAGCCCCTTCCCGAGGCTGTGTTCATCCTTGCAGCCCCACGGGCGGGGGTCCCTTTGCAGGTGGCCCTGAGCCGTGTCCGTTCCTCGTGGTTGATGGATCATGCGCTGGCAGGGCGGGCCTGTAGGGTGGCAGCACCCTGTCTTTAGCGAGGCCTGGTCTGCTCTGCGGTCCCGGGAAGGCCGAGGGACCGGCGTCGCCTTGCGTTGTGGCCTGCACCTGTAATGACCACGGCGTTTCGCTGGCTCAGGCTGTCCTTACTGTCCCTTGTGACCGGGACCTGGGGAAATTCCAGTTAAGCATGTTGTCCTCCTCTGCATTTACGTAAAAGTTGAGGCCTTTGTCTTCTCGCATTTAGTTTGGTTTTAAAAGCTCTTCCGCACTGCCCCGGTTTGTGACCGGGCGCCAGGCGCCCGCAGTCCCACCTGTGAAGTGGGAACGCTGCCCGCGGCCGCTGGTTGGGAGAGCGGAGGGGGAGCGGGCGCCTGGCGCTCAGAGCTACCGCGGGGCTCGTGCCCAGCCATGCAGCCGTCTGCAATCTTCCAATGGCCTCGGTACCCTGACTGGCACCAGCTGGGAGATAAACTCCTAACTCCTACCGAGTCTCCTTTGTCCTGAGCCTGAAAACGAACGTGCAGTGTAATAGATCTTAACTTCTAGTTCTGCAAGACAAAAACCCACAGACACTTGCTATACAAAGGAAAGGTCTTTCTTTTGAAATGATTGAAAATCTGTGCAGTGGCCTTGGACCGCATTTGCTTTCTTTCCCAGGGACGACTTTAATATTAAAGTTCTTCAAGCTTTTGTCGAACTCCATGAATTTGCTGATCTGAACCTTGTTCAAGCCTTAAGGTAAGTGTCGGCTGTCCGCGGGAGCCGGAGGTAGGCACCCCCACGGGGCTGCCGGTTCTGCCGACCGGCCTCTGAGCCCGTGGTCTCCCCAGAGCTTCAGAGAGGCTCCCCCGGGCATTTGCAGACCGAGCCCGTGCTTGCCTCAGTGGGACGGCAGGGTGTGCATTGTGTTTCTCACCCGGTATTTGGCAGTTGGGTGCATTCTTCCCACTTCGCAGCTGAGTCTCGGTGCTGCCCAGGCGTGGGCCTGCTTCCCACTGCATTTGGTCTCAAACACCAGCCTCGTGGATGTCCCCACCTTGCCCGGGTAAAGCCAGCCGTCCTTACGCCCCGGGCCCTGGAAACGCCATGGTCCCCTGGTGTTCCTTTCTCTGTAGGCAGTTCTTGTGGAGTTTTCGACTTCCGGGGGAGGCGCAGAAGATCGACCGCATGATGGAGGCATTCGCGTCCCGCTACTGCTTGTGCAACCCTGGCGTCTTCCAGTCCACAGGTCGGTGGCGCTGGGGCCCGGCGCCGGCGAGCCTCTGCCCGGCGGGGGTGGGGGACGCCTCTGGCCAGGCGCGCGGCTGAGGGCCCCTGCGCCATCTGCCCTCTTGCAGACACCTGTTACGTGCTGTCGTTCGCCATCATCATGCTCAACACCAGCCTCCACAACCACAACGTGCGGGACAAGCCCACGGCCGAGCGCTTCGTCACCATGAACCGCGGCATCAACGAGGGAGGGGACCTCCCGGAGGAGCTGCTGCGGGTGAGCTCCCCGCCCTCGGGGCCCCAGAGCTGGCCCTCACGCCTCGGGAGCAGCGCTGGGCAATGTTTACCACCAGGCACCTGCAGGGTCCCTCGCAGCCCTGGTCCCACCGAGCCCGGTGCCCTCAGGGACACGCGCTGCCGCCCAGCCCTTTCGCTCCTGGCTGTGTCCCTGAGCACGCTGTCCCCTGTGCTCCTCGTAGAACTTGTACGAGAGCATCAAGAACGAGCCGTTCAAAATCCCCGAGGACGATGGCAATGACCTGACGCACACATTCTTCAACCCCGACCGCGAGGGCTGGCTCCTGAAGCTGGGTGAGTGGCAGCTGGCGGGCGGGCCCCGTGCTCCGAGCCCCCAGCCCTCGGCAGCCAAGGGCCCTGACCAAAGGCGGAACCGCTAGAAGCGAGGGCCGTTGGGCCGAGTCCGCCCACCGTAGCCGGCCGCACGCCCCAGACTCGATGGCTGCCGCTTTGAGCCCTGCCCCGTCTGAATGAGGCCCTGCCGGCCGTGTCCACGGCGGAGAATAACACCCGGGCTGCACGAGTGTCCCAGAAAACTGCTCAGTTAGCGTCCAGATAGACCCAAGGCAGTTTTCTGTACCAGAGGCAGGTGCATTTACTGCGAGAACCTGCGTGCCTTTCTCTTGGTTTGGTGTGGCTGATTTTTGATGCGTGGTTTAAATGTGCCTTCTTGTTGTTTTCCTTCTGCCTGTGGCTCCCACCTTTCTGTTCTGTGACGGGCTGTCCCTGCTTGTTCTGCGTTAGGAGGTACGTACCCAGTGGCTTCCTGCCCCTTCCCCAGCTGCTCATTCCTCTCTCGGTTTCTCTCCCCCGTTGGTCTGTGTGAAGCTCTGATCTGTGGCTGCCATTCGTCTGACCCCTGTGGCTTTGGACTTGCTGGGGTTAGCTTCATGCAGGGTGCAGCGAATGTGACATTCATCCCCCCGGGCCGGGCAAGGCGTGGCCGGAATGCCAGCCCTTAGGCGCTGGGAGCGCATGGGAATGCCGTGTGGGACCGAGCCTGCCCATCCGTGTCTGTAGGGCCTGAGCAGCCTCGAGACTGCTGGTCGCCTGCTCCCTCCCCGTACATCACTGGTTGCCTCTCATACTAACCAAACAGCGCATGTTTGCACCACCCCTGGACAGAGTCCGGGAATGTTCAAAGGGCTTCCTAACCATTGACGAAGAAGTAGAGTAGTGTTGATATTTTCTGGGCAATTTTAGGAATTGGTAGGGTGGTTTTTTGTTTTGTTTTTATTCTGGGGGCGGGGGGGGCGGATTTCTGCCTTACTGTGACACGAGAGCCTGTGAGATGTGACAGCATGTACCGACCAGGCATGGTCGCTGTAGAACCCGCTGTGAGACACCGGGCCTGAGAGAATCCCCGCGCCTTTGTGTTCGTAATCAAGGCGAGGGTAAGAGGCGGGCGTGAAGGCGTGTGCCAGGGCTCGGCCGTTCCGATTTGGGGTCTGGCTCTGGCTTCTCTCTGGCTGTGCTGAGGTTTGGGGGAGTTCTAGATAGATCTTTGTCTAGAAACCCAGAACCATAGCCATCGACTTGGAGATGCATCTCTCAGGTCACCCCAAACCTGTGGCCCCGGGGTCAGGGCAGAGGGGGGAACGTGTCCAACACGCCAGGGAGGGCCCCTCGTGTGACAGCGACGGTGCGAGCCTGCCTGGCAGCTGGTGTGGCCTTGGCACCAGGGGGAGATGCATCTGCTTCGAAAGAACCAAACGAGGGAGACAAAGGCACAGCGGGGCTTGTGTTCCCACCTGTGCTCTGGGTGCGCGTGTAAGCAGTGCTCAGAGCACCCCGAGGAGCTATAGAGCTGGCACGGTGCCGAGTTGGGTGCCCAAGGGGCCCCCTGCAGCTCGGGGTCGGCTCCCTCCATATTCCACCGCCACATGCACGCGTGTGAGGAGAAGTCATGGTGCTGGCGTTCTCGGTACCTGTCACAAAGCTAGTGGTGATGGTGCCGCCCAGACCTCAGGCCCGCGGCCAGCCGGTGACTGCCCGGGAGCCTCCTCCCCAGAGCCCCAGCGAGCCCGCTGCCGCCTCCCTCGGGCCCATGCAGCCTCCGTACCCTCTCCGTGCACACAGAGCTGTGGCCGTGCCGAGAGCGGGTTTCCCAGCAGGTGGGTCTGCTCTGCACAGCTGCTGGGCCTGGACACAGTCCTGCCCACAGGCCGCCTCCCAGGAGTCTTGACGCTGGCCTGGCCTCTAGGGACAGCTGGTTGGCGTCGGGCTCCGAGGGCTGAGTAGGCAGTCAGTCTGCTGGAAGCCGATGCCAGAGATGCGTTAGCTTGGCCTGGGTTAGCTCTGGGCCCTTATCCAGCACGGGGCAGACACAGGCCTGGACACGGAAGTGCTTGGCCCCAGGCCTACAACACAAGCGTAGGAGAGAACGTGTGTTCTGTGCACGCACTCAGGAGCGGAGGTCACCATGTGACCTTCCTTGTGTCTCATAAACACGGTCTGAGGCCAGATGGCACTTTCAGAAGGTCTGGATGCTTTGCAAGAGCTAGGAGCATTGTAGTGTTTCTTCGTGATCATCAAGGAAATGCCTTATAGCCGCTGAGTTTTGAGAAGGGGTCAGTTCTGTTAAAAACACGGGCACATGGGTCAGAGTTGAGCTGTCTTGTAGAAAAAGTATGTGTTGTAGGGTGTGTGGGTACGGTGTGCCCGGGAGCAGCCGTGGAACTAGCAGCAAGTTTGGAGCGGAGAAGCCAGGCGTGAGTGCTGTGTGTGTGTGTGTGTTCTTCCGTCCGTGTGTCCATCCCCATCTCCTGAAGTTCAGCCAGGAACACACGTAGGCAGAGCCTGTCTGTTCCCTTGCAGCGAGACCTGCGGTGGCTCCGACCCCTGCTCCCCCCATCCCGCCCTGCTGGGCCTGCCCCACTGAGCTGTAAGGGGGCTGGGCTGGGAGGCCCTTGGCCATGACCACCGGGCCAGGGATTGGGCTCCCCAAGACGTGCCACCGAGCTCAGGAGCAGTGGGGCAGGTGCTTGCCGGGGTGGGGGGGGCGGGGGGCAAAACGCTGAGAAGCCTTCCCCGCTAAGCCACTTCTCCTGGTGTCGGGTGGTGCAGGGGAGGCCATGGGGCCTGGGGGTGAGCAGGACACATAGGCCGCCACCTTGTGGCCCAGTGCAGGAGTGCAGACGGAAGGGCAGGCACTGCACAGATGGACGGGGTGTGGGCTCCTGGGGGGATTCTCTGAGAGCCTGCTTGTGGGACTGAGGGAAGGGGAGGTGCTAGCAGGGGAGTGGGAGCTCGGGGCAGCACAGTGGCCGGAAGGAAAGGCAGGGGGCCGGGAGGGGAGCCACGAGGAGACCTTGTAGGCCGCTGAGGGCTTGGGGTCCTAGGCTGACAGAGTGCAAGCCTTTGGGAGCTTCAGGCATGGAGAGCCGGGATGAACTTACCTTTTCAAGGGACGCCTCGGGGGTGGGGGGGGCATGGGGGTGGGAGGCTGGCGGCCCTGTCCAGCACCAGTGCAGCCAGAGAGAAGTGGTGTGAGGGAGGTGGAGTGAACTGGGCTGGGGGGATGGATCTGGAGAGAATCTGTGCTGTCTCATCACCGGAGGACTTTGGGACGAGGGTCTCCTGGGTCCCCTCCCTGTGAAGGTGGGCTTCCCTGGGATGCTCCAGCGGAGATCAGGGAATGAGCAGGGCTCCTGGTGCCCAGCCCTGTGCTGGGTCTTCGAAGGAACCAAGGAGGCCCCGTCCAGAGGGAGCAGAGGATTCCAGCGCAGTGCTGAGAACCCCTGAGGAAGCTGCACGGGGCTGTGGGGAGCAAGGGTCCCGCTGGGGCTCAGGCACGGGGTGGGGGCTGTGGCTCTAGGCCCAAGGGCCCTGGGGACAGGCATGGGGTCTGAGGGCCGCGGAGGGGGCAGCAGGAACTGGGGGAGGCACATGGTCAGCCCCTTTGGACGGGGACCAGAAGTGAGGTGGGTGGAGCTGGGGGTGTCTGTCAGGGAGAGGGGGAGACATAGCTGGACCTTCATCCCCCCCCCCCCCCCCCCCCGCACAGCCGGGGCCCCCCCTCTGTGCTGGGCGTGCCCCCACATCAGCCTCTCTGGCCGGTTTGGGCCTGCCTGAGGCCATCCACAGGAGGTCCGAGGTCTGATCGGTGAGGCAGGGCTGAGGGATCCCGGTCTCCCAAGGACCTGGCCAGTGGCACCGAATCCCGGTGGTCACGACCACCCCCCCTCCCCCCCAAGCAGGATGTCTTCCCTGCCTGGATTTCTGCAAACATCAAGGCTGGAGGCAGCCTTGCCTCAGCCCCAGGCTGACCTGGGAAGCCGGCCCGTGTGCCTTCCTGTCCCTCCGTGACCCCCGGCCGCACGTGACCCACGCGGCCTTTCCTCCCACACCACGGCCCCTCAGCCCCGGCGGCACTCACCTGCTCACGGGTTGTAGAGATAGGCGGGCGAGCTCCGCCTCAAATGTCACCTCGGGGAGTGACAGCAGGGACGGCTGCTTGCTTGTGCCCACAGATTGCTTGATTCTCTTACCATGTGCATGTTTTTCTTGTAGATTGTGTTTTTTTAAACTTCATGTCAGAAGCAAGGGCTGGAAATTGAAGCCCGTTTGTGCTGAATATTTGGGGGTAAAAGATTTCCTTTCTGTAGTGAAAGGAGACACAGATGAGCTGTGTGTGTGTGTGTGTGTGTGTGTTTACATGTGTGTCCCCGATCTTGTTAAGAGATTAAGTCAATCGAGTAATTCCCTGGACCAAGGAGTAATTGATGGTGATGGATCCCAGGGCCAGCCAGAGCCCCGAGGTAACAGGATTAGGCCCCCGCCAGGCCCCGGGGAGTCGCACTGACTTCATCCTGTTGTCATTTCCATGTGGGGAAATTAAGCCCATTCATCACGACTAACGTTTCCAGAAAGGCCGTTTGGAAAGCGGTGGCCCAGGTGGCCGTGGCAGGGGCACCGGTGCTGCCCGGGTGGGGGTGCATGTGGGGCCCCGGCAGCGCCCCACGCCGGCTCGTCGCCAGCCCGGCGCCAGGCCACACGGCTCGCCCGGGACTTGGCTCAGCGTTGGGCGGAATGGCCAACGTTTCCACGAGGAGGAAGGGAGCTTAAGACCCAGTTTGGCTCCTGGTGGCATTTCTGAAGATACAGTCATCTCTGTCGGTCCCGGGCCCGCCCTTGAGGGCCCCGGGTCCCCAGCGCGTGCGGGCTGCGACTCACGAGCTCGTTCTGCTTCTAGGAGGGCGGGTGAAGACCTGGAAGCGGCGCTGGTTCATCCTCACCGACAACTGCCTCTATTACTTTGAGTACACGACAGTAAGTATGGGGCGGGCTGCCGGGCCGGGCGCACGGCCCCTTGGGGGGCGCGGGCCTGAGCGAGGCTGGCCGTGCGCTCTTTCTCGTAGGACAAGGAGCCCAGGGGGATCATCCCCCTGGAAAACCTCAGCATCAGGGAGGTGGAGGACCCACGGAAACCGGTAAGCTGGCCTCCTCCTTGCCGCCCCTGCCCTCCGGCGGCCGCAGCGCTCCGTGACGGCGCTCTGTCTGTCTCCACCAGAACTGTTTCGAGCTTTATAACCCGAGCCATAAGGGCCAGGTCATCAAGGCCTGTAAAACCGAGGCGGACGGCCGGGTGGTGGAGGGGAACCACGTGGTGTACCGGATCTCCGCCCCGAGCCCCGAGGAGAAGGAGGAGTGGATGAAGTCCATCAGGTGCGCGCCCGGGCTGGCCTGCGCGTGTGGGAGTGTGCCTGCGTGGGAGCGTGTACGCCTGCGTGTGTGGGAGCGTGCGTGGGAGCGTGCGTGGGAGCGTGTACGGCGGGAGCGCGTGCAAGTGCGCCGCTCTTGCCTGCGCGCATGCGCACTTCTGCATGCAGGACCGGCCTCCGCTTGGCGCTGCAGGGCGTCCTCCGACCTCAGAATTCTCCTTTCTCCCCAGAGCGAGTATCAGCAGGGATCCTTTCTATGACATGCTGGCCACGAGGAAGAGGAGGATTGCCAATAAGAAATAGATCTCTCCCGGCCTCAACAGGTGAAAGTAGAAACCAAAACCCCGCAGCAGAAAGTGACTGGGAGCCTCCCCCGACACCCTGGGCCCCGCCTCGCTCATCCCGCCGCCTCCCCGGAGGAGGCAGCGCCTGCACCGCGCGGGCCGCTTGGCGGGAGCGCCGCTCTGGGGTCGCCAAGGGCCCCGCGCAGCCGACGTGCCGACGCCCTCCTCCCGGCTCTGAGTTGGAAGCTCGTGCCCGCCGTGCCACACGTGCTCACCCGGGGCTGCGTTCACCGTTCTAGAAGCCGCTGTTTTGTATCAGACAAGGAAGGAAAAGCTACCACTTTTTTATTCAGAGTTTTTTTCTCAGATATATAGGATTATAGCTTTTATATGCCTTTTTATATTCTGAAATTATAACGAAAGATACTTTCTAGCAGTAGTATTTTTAGAATGGCAGCTATAAATATAACTCCTGGACACAAGTATATACTGTGCACTGAAGAAAAATTCTGTCCACACAACATGCGCGGCACCGCCCGGGGGCCGGGGGCGGGTGTGCGGGCTGCTCTGCGGGCGCCCTCGTCCCGCGCGTCCCTGGCCAGGCCCCCTGGGGCTCCTCTTCCGCTCAGATCACTTTCTAAAGGCAGGTCGTTAGAAGTGATGGTTCTGGGTGTTTCTCTTGTAACCGCGGTCCCGGCACCGGCTCGGTCTGTGTGTTGAGCCCCATGAAACGGCTGCTGTTGGCCTGTTCGGACCCCCCCACCGGCAGTTCCATGTGGTTCACCGGAACCATGGTTCCGACCAGCTTCCGACCAGTCTTCGCTGTTTAAAACCTGTCGGCAAAACAAATGCTTCTTTTACTGACCTGGTGATAATTTGACTCGATCTCTTGATGTAACGGATAGACAAGTAACTAGAGCGAATCTCATTTCACGTTTTCAGAGACTTACTCTCTCGCCAGGAGCAGGGAGAGAGCACGGTGTGGGATGGAGGCACGGGGCACTTAGGGTTTCCTGTAAATAGTGTAAAACCCCCAGTACATGCTGGTGGTGGAACTTGAGTAGATCCACCATCAGGCGGCCGTCGGGTTGCTGTTGATCTAATAGTAGGTGCTCAGGACGTCTGCCGGGGGGAGGATGGATCCCCGAGCAGGATGGGGCTGCGGCGCGGTTGGGGTGCTGTGTGCTGGGTCGCCGCCTCCGGGTCTTCGGGACGGGCCCCGTGCCCACGCCGTGGTCCCTGCCCCGCTGCGTGGGCACACCCTGCCTCTGCGCCCTTTGGCGTCACGAACTGTCCCGCACAGGGTGAGAGTCCCAGAAAGCGGACCTGAGACCGTCAGCACCCGTGTGAAGATTGTCAGTACGAGTAACTGTTCCTGTGAGTTGCCTTGGTGCTGGAACTGACCGGCTGCGGGCCCCTGGCCTCGGCACCACTGACCTTGACGTAGCTTTAAAGCGCTAGATGCAAAAGGGGTCTGAGCCCAGGACCCTCTGACCTGCATCAGACTGATATTTTTGTTTCATTCCCAAGCTTTTAGGCTTTGTTACTGTACCGATACCTCAAATTCGAAACTTCAGTTTTTGAGAAAGGCACGTCAGCATTCTCGAAGTGCCCGGCTGGTATATATGCAACTCTGGCCTCCCGTCTTCCATGAACAGATGGCGCCTGGAGCCCGCGGCCCAGCACTGCTCAAGGGCGCTCCAGCGGCGCCGGCCACAGCCGTAACACACCCGGGGGAGACCGTGCCTCTCTCCTTGTGTGCCCCAGGTAGGCCCCGGGGAGATAGGGCTCTCTCGCTGGGCTTTGGCCTCAGTGGGGGTGGGAGAACCAAGCTTAGGGAAAGCCCCGTGGGAATGGCTCCTCTGGGCGCCTGTGAAGGCGCGGCCCGTTCCGGCTGTTTCCCCGGGAGCCTACCCGGGGCAGAGGCAGAGGCAGAGGCCGCCGTGCTTAGACTCTGGGGAACCTGCCATCCGTGTTAGGGGAGGTCCTCGAATTCCAGGTTTTGTTGTGACAGTATTAACACACCGGCATACAAGTCCGGGGTGCCCAGCCGGGCAGCGGGGCTGTGCGGGGCTGTGCGGGGCTGTGCGGGGCTGGCTGCGGCCAAACCTCAACAGGGCCGTGTTCCTCCTCCTTTCCCCCGCCGCCCACGTCCGCACGCAGTGCTTGAATTTTAGCCCCAACTCTGGCCAAAGACAAGCTTTCCTCCAGAGGCCAAGGGCAGGAGGCGGTGGAGGGAGTGCGGCGGGCGGATGACCACTGCCCCCCCCCCCCCCCCCCCCCCGCCCCCCAGCCTTGGTTAACACTTGAGGTTGAATTGGACGACCCTGGACCCAGGCAATCAACAGTGTCTTCAGGATTACGGAGCAACTTTCAACAGTTTAATGTGGTACCAAACCGAATCAAAATAGGAGCTATTTATAGATGAAGCAGCATTTAGTGCTTCATATAAAGCAATGCATATTTTTAAAAAAATTAAAATGCATATTATCTACATAGATGTGCTTTGCTGAGAAGTTAGGTCTGTTGTAGACCTGAAACCACACGTTGTGATTTCACATTTTCTTATTTTTTCTTAGACATTTCTAATTACAGTAAATATAGTTAATATGTAAATAATGTACAAAGAGATTTCTCGAGTGTTTGTTATTCAATGTATATATTTCCACAAGTTGCATGAAGAAATATCTTATTATCTATCGATATTTTGTTGTAAAATGAATAGCAAAATTGGAAGGTGTATGGCCATCAACTTGCAAATACTGTGTTCACAAAATAAAAAAATGCATTGTTCAAAGACTACCTAGGACCTGGTTCTTTAAAATAGATCGTCGGGTCCAGGAACTTGCTCCCTGTCCCTTCCTCATCCTGGGCTTGGGCTTCAGAGGATTCTAAGACCGTGAAGGCAGCAGGGAGAAGGTGGTGAGAAAGGTCTGGTAAGCAAAGGGGGGAAACAGCAGTAAAGAATAAGACACAAAATGTTTAATTTGCTGCCATTTATATACTATATAAATTTTACATGCTGTATATTTACAGTGGGGCAAGTGCTTTTTTAATCTTTAAAAAAACAAAGATCAAACTTTAGACATCTCTGAACAACACAAACTGTATAAACCATACAGATTATTCAGATACAAACTGTATTAAATACAGTTTTCCCCACTCCATCTCCTGATGCAGGACCAGTGAATTATAAGTGTATCACAGTTTGATAGCATATCCATATTAAAAATAAAATCACAGTATGATTTTGTCTGTAACTAGAAACTTTAAGGGACCAAGCTGACAACTCAGACTCCAATATCATAGTCAAGACAAGAGACACTGTATAAAAAAGTGTTAAGTAATAAAAACATACTGTAGGCTTTACAAATAATGTTTGGATTATACATTCATAATGTAAATACTCATCATAACTGGTAAGTTGATTGGAATAGTTCCACAAAGTTCAAAAACAGAACTTGTCTATAAAATACCTTTTCAAATCTTGAATACAACTAAAATATGAAGCAAATTAGTTTCTAGTATCAGACATTACAGAAAACAGACTGCTCTCAAGTCTAGTTGAGAGCTCGTGAATCTTTAAATAAGTCTTTAAATTAAATATACACACTGTCAGTTTGTACTTTTAATAATTCCATGGTTTCCCGGCTGGTCTGGCACCGGATGTCTAACTTGGAGGAGCTTTCCATGGAATGCGAGCGGTCCACCTGAGTCTGATTAAGCAGCATTTGAGATGTTCCAGTCCAGGGCGTCACTGTCTGTGGGATTTATGTACACGGTGTTTTACAATGGTCAGCAGTTGTAGAAAGTGTTCGTCCATTTGGAATAAGGGTAATTAAGAAAAGGTAAAAACTAAAAAAAAGTCCTCCATGGTAAAATCTGTACAGGATTTACTAAAGAAGCACCACGCAGATTTGAACAAAGTTATTTTCTAGATTGATAATTTAAGCTGGGTTGGGGATGGCTTCTGTCGAACACGCTGAATCTGAAAGACAAAAGGCAGCAAGCGCAGGCGTTAGTACCTCCCGGGGCGGGGCGGGGGGGAGGGCCTGGCCATCCCTAACACCGACAACTCATTCCTGGGCTTCCTGTAGGCACAGTTCCACCAGGTCCTGGGGGGCAAGCTCTTCGTCATTTTGCCTTCCAGAAGGGCAGGGAGGGAAGGGGGCTGCTCGGGCCGGACGTGCAGAGGGAGCCACCTGCTGGGCGAGCGCCGCTGCCAACCGGCTCAAGCCTTCAACTCCCTTGCGCAAGACAATCTGAGTCTAATGCTTGCTTAGGCTTAGGTCTTTTCCTTAAGACACCGAGAAAGCAGGTTAGTTAAGCTGCACGTTAATCTGCCGTAGATGATTCGGGGAAATCCATTTCAAATCCCCCCTGCTGCCTACGAGTCCCACACCGGACCCGGGTGCCTTCAAGACCGACATGGCACACTGGCCTGCCTACCTCAGCAAATGCGGGTCACAAACAGGAAGCACTAGCTCCCGGGGCCACCGGGTCAAATGCCAGTAGTCACTCACTGGGCACTGTCAAAGTCGGCATCTGTCCTAAGGCACCCACACCTCGTTCCAGGAACGCCAAGTCCTTTCTGTCAGAAGTCGGTGTGCTCTCTGGCTCTGCACGCGGACGCGGGGCTCCTGGCCCGACGCCGCGAACCCCTTGTTTCCCCAGCGCAGGGACCTGGGGCCGTGTGTGGGAATGGGGCCGCCAGGGGCTCCTCGCCGAGGCCAGTCGGGTAGGTCTGGGGTAGGTCTGGGTGGAGGAAAGGAGCTTCTCCTTCCGTTCCATCCTGGCCCTGGTGCCTTCAGCTTTCCCTCACTTTCTCCCGAGAAGGGGGGAGGAGGAGGGAGCAGGGTGGCGCCAGCTGAAGGAAGGGACACCCTGCCCCAGAGCCAGACCCAAGGAAGAGGGGGGGGGTCTAAGCACAGGGGGGGGGGGGCAGAAGAATCTGCTACCCTCGCTGGGGAGCCTCCCGCACCTGCTCCCCCAGTACCGCCTCTAAGCCCAAGGCCCCAAACTCCGTCTGTGTCCCCTCGGTGCCCCTACAAACAAGTATGAAACATACACATAGGAAAACTGCTTACCATAACTAGTGAATTTTTTGTTTTGAGGCCAAGTTTTCAATCACCTAGAAAGCAAAGAATCAGGAAAGAGATTTTAATGATGGTTTTGCAGAATGTTTCGTGCCGGAGCCGTGTCCGCGCAGTGAGCGATTACACTTAGAACCCGTTCTCAGCCGGGTGCTCGCGGCCTGAAATCCGTCCCGCACCCGGAGAGCGAGTGGGCCCTGCCACGTGGCGCTCTCTCCAAGCGTCTTCCTACAAACCAGACTCCGTGTGCTGCCTGCGATGCGGGGAAAGCCATACCCCGCGGGAACGGTTCGCTCTCAGCCCATCAAACTCCTCAGCATTTTAACAGCAGGACAAATCAGATCTCAGGCCAAAGAAACTGACCTGAGGGTTCCATGCGGCCGGAGGACAGGAGGCCGAGAGGCGAGTGGCCAAGGCAGCAGACGAGGGGCACACGTGGCAGGCGGGCAAAGGGGCCTGGCACCCTCGGCCAGAGGACACGGATGCTTGGCACGCAAGCCCGAGCAGGTGGCCCCTGTCCCTGAGGGCAGGAGGGGCAGGCACACGGGTTCCTCAGTCGGCTCTCCGCGGAAGCGCTGGCTGCACACCGGCCATCGAGGGCAAGCGGGCAGGACCGAAACGGCCACCACTCGACACAAAGCCTGACTGCAGCCCCTAGAGGGGCACGTCTGGGCCCCCCGACGCCAACTGGCGGGGTTCACCCTCCGCCTGCTTTCCCTCCAGAGCCATCTGTGGGGGGAGCTGCCCTCCACTGTGTGCCGGCAGCCTCTGAGGGGGGTCCTTCCAAGAGCCGCAGGCGGAGGGGAAGATGCCGCCCACTCCCCCCCCGCAAGCCCCAAGCACAGACGGAAGGGACTCGATCCTCACCAAGCCAAGCCCTCCCCCAAATCCCCAAAACGCTCATGGGAAACCGGTCTGAAGATTTAGATATTTAAAAAACCCAGAGCAGACGACAGCCCAGCGTCACTGTCCTGCCGGCCACGGCCACTCGTGTCCTCTGCCCCGCGCCACCTGGGCTCCCCACGGCACGTCACACCGCACAGCCCCTCCCGCTGGGACAGCGCCTCCCTCACGGTGTCTGCTTCTCTAACGCCAGCGCCCGGGGCCCTTCTGCCCCTCCTCCGTCCACAGCCACACTGACAGACGGGTCTGCCCCCGACACGCACGACGTCTCACCCAAGTTCACGACACAAAAGCCTCTGGGCAACCAAGATGCCGCACCAAAGTCACGAAAGTGCACCTCAGGCATCTAGGGCAGGGCCAGGCAAGCTTCTCGTACAAAAGGCCAGAGGACAACCCTGCTCTGCTCTGGGGCCATCCGGGCTCTCAGCAGCGCCTGGGCAGGGCCAGCACGGCGCCACGTAACTGAGCAGGCTGGGCTCGCCCCGAGCACAGCTCCGGACACAGGCACGTCCCACGTGCAAGGACATCTTCTCCTTTGGACTTTGTCAGCCATTTAAAACCCGCGAAGCCGCTTTGAACCAGCAGGCCCTGCGGACGTAAGCTGCATGCAGAGAGGGGCTGCTTTAGGTGCAGTCAGAGCAGAAAGGGCTATGAAACGACATCGGAAGACAGTGGTGCAAAGTGGGGAAGAATCCAAGCCCCCTCCCCCCAACACACACAGCCTGGAGGGATTCACTTAGTGGGAGCCAGGACCCCACAATACAGGCACCTGCAAGGCCTCGGCTCTGCTAGGGGCTGAGAGCGGACGTACCCCAAACGGAGTTTCAGCTTATACTCCGAATGCTAGAGATTTGCAGACTCAGGAGGGAAAGCACACACGGTGAAAATATTTCTATCAGAAATGGCTTAAGAACAAAATCCCTGGTCCTTCATGAGACACACACACACGCCCAGAGCCCCAGACTCCAGAGGTCTCGCTACCGAGGCTCCGCCGAGCCCAGGTCCGGGTCACCGAGGTCCCTGCACACGCTAAGGGGTCAGTCCCGCAGCTGCACACCATGCCACGGGAGCCCGCACTCCGCCTGGGGGCCGAGGCTGGAGCAGACAGAGCGCACTGGCTCCCGCTGGAGCCAAACCCTTTTAAGCCATTTGAGGGTTTCTTCCCCCGTGCTGACAAGAAATCGTTTCTATATTCTTAATTCCAAGTATCTCCTCTTACCCTGGCCACACTCAGACAGAGGACACCTGTCATCCCTGCTTCCCATCCTTAAGTGTTTTCTCTTCTCACGGAAAGGCCCAACACCTTCCAGAGGCAGGCCGTCGGTGAGGGGGAAAGCGCCGTCAGTTCTCCGGAAACGGTCAACAGTCTCATGGCTGGCGGCCTTGGGCAGGTGTGGCTCTGAGTCTTTAACAAAGTCCTCGGATCTCCTGGAGTGCCTCTTCTTTTTCTTCTTCTTTTTTTTGTGTCTGTGGAGATCAGTGTCGGAGCACGCTACTGACAGATCGGAGTCCTGCTGACGCCTGCAGAGGAAGAAGCCAGAACTCAAACCACCAACAAACCAAACTTGCCTCCGAGCGGCCTGGTCCTCGGCTCTCACCCCCATGGCAGACGCTCAGCACGCACACAGCAGTGAAGACACCACCTGGGCACAAACGTGCCGGGCTCACCGTAGGAAGTGTTGGGGTCCAGGGTCTGAGTTCGCCTGCTTGGGCTCCCCCCGCCCCGCCCCCCCCAGCTGCCTGGAGCTCTGCTCTGGAGCGAAGGCTGCTGGCCTCAAGTCCGGAGAAAGAATTTCACTACCTTTTCCTGGAACGAGTGGCCAAGGGACAAAATGCTTTCACCAGGAGCTTCAGACACACAGGAGGGAAGGAGGTTTTGTAACCATGTCTGTGTCCCTACAGCTTTTGGTAACCTTTCCCCAGGGTTTCCATGTCAAGAGACGTCAGATGTCATGCACCTCGTCATGGAGAAGTCATTTTCAAGACAATCTCTGCCCAATTTAGCTTTTTAGAAAGACAAAAACAAACTTCCCCACTAGATTTTAAACTGGGAAATGGAGCCAGAGAAACAGACAAGGCTGAGGCAACGAGCGGTCGAGAGGTCGTCTTTGATGCGCGCCGGCAGCCGGCAGGCCAACAGCAAAGGGACAGACGGTGGCCTCCCTGTGCCTGCCCACCGGGCGGTCCCTGAGGCGCAAGAAAACGTGAACAGGTATGAAAACATAACTACATGTGACGAGTGACAGTATGAACACCAGTTAAGCAGTCCAAGACCCAAGTTCTCAGGCACAGACTGTGGCACGCTTACTCGAGTAACCACAGATCCTAAATCACGGACCAAAAACGGCATCATCGTTTCAAAAGGGGAGGTTTGCAGACCCTTTATAAAACTGCGAAGAGCATCAGCATGGAGCTGGGGTCCGGAAATCTACCGCGGTGGAAGCTCAGGCCCGCAGAGCGGATCACAGGACACCAGCCTCCACCACCGGAGCCAGCTCTGTGCGTGGGGCCAGGCCCCGGGCTCCCGTGGCTGGAGCTGGAACCAGACCTCTCCCGACGCCGCGCCCACGGCCGCCTCCTCACCTGGAATCGCGGCCTCGGTGTTTGTCTTTGGATTTCTTTTTCTTCTTTGATTTTTTGTGCTTCTTCACTTTAGGCTCTTCCAAGGGATCCTTCTGGAAGCTCCTCCAGGCCTTCTTCTCGACGTGACCGTCGCTGTTCTCCATGCTGTCGAATCTCCGTTTCCGGGACTTGGCGTTCTCGTGTTCGTGAAACCGATCGGCGAGGTTACAATTGGTGTCTTCGGCTACAAGTGCAATTTTCTCAGGGGGGTACTTCTCGGGGTACGGGAGGAGGGCGTGGGGCGGGCCCGCCCGGGGGCTGCCGAAGCGGTGTCGGTCCCTCCCCTTGGTGAGCAGCTCGTAGCCTTTCCTGCCTCTGCAGTGGTCCCTGTAGGGCCGGCCGCCGGCCGGGCCCGCCTTGGCGTACTCACGGGCGCCGTGGAGGGGCTTCCACTCGCGCGCCTCCCTGGCCGTGTACGGGGCGTACCTGTCGTGGTAGTACCTGCACCTGTCCCACCGCAGTCTGTCCGGGTAGTACTTGTCCCGGCCCCAGGAGCGCTCGCTTTCGGAATGGTGGTACCTGCTCCACTCCTGGTCCGCCCCGCCTCTGCCGCGGGAGTGGTGGTGGCCGTACCTGCCCAGGGAGCGGTGCTCGCCGGGGCTGAGCCTCTCGCCGTGACAGGGGTGGTGTGCGCCCCCGTTGCAGTGCTCCGTCCTGGGGCGGTCCTGCTTGGCCCGCTCCCGCACGGACGAGTGCCGCTTTTTGTGGTAGTGCTCCCCGGTTTTGCTCCTGCTCTCCCTCGCACGCTCTCCGCTGGAGGAACGATCCCTTCGGTTGCGATAATGCCCTCGATCAACTTTTCTGAGGATACTGATTTTTTCCTTAACTGGAGAATGATCTGGAACTTTTTGTCCCATCTTATTTTCTTCACATTTCTCCCCGTTACTTTGCTCAGGGCCCCCTTCTGAATGATTTTCTGTGACCTTGTCTACTTGAGGAGAGGGCGAGTCCTCCGCAGCTGCACCCGTGCTCCGAGGAGGGTCCTTCAAGTCCGTGCACGTGTCTCCACTGATGTAGACTAAGAGTTCGTGCTCACAGGCACCCTCGGAACATACCGGGGGACTTGGGCCCGAACTCCCCGCTGTCTCCACTGCGGCTGAGGCCCGTGGGCTCTCTATTACCGCCCCCGATATGGCCTGGGGCAGTCTGCTCTTGTCACCTGTTAAATCCCCGGGGCCACACAGTTTAGGGAGATCATCCCCCGTGGGATTCTTAGTACTGCTGTAAAGAGTGTCGGCACTTGGCAAAGACTCCTCGGGTTTTGCTAAAATGTTTTCTGAGACTTCTTCTTTGGTAGATTTGATGCTGGGGTCTAAGGGTGGCAAAGCCTTCTTTAACTTGCTGCTAAGGCTCGTTAGGGTCTCCAGTTTCTCACGGGACTCGGGGGAGGGACTGCTGGCCTCCCGCTCTGCGCCGGGATCCTCTGCAGGACCTTCCTCTGTTCCAGGCACGCTGCAGCCCCATCAAAACAAAGAAATCAATAAATTAGTCCTTGGCTTGATTGCTTTATGGATCACAGGGACAAAAACTTGAAAACATTCTTTACTAAATAACCTATGCCTTTAACATACCTGGCTGGAGTTTGGCCAATATGGGGCTTATCATTTTTGGAAACTTCAAATGTCTCTTTCCCTCACTAAATAAAAACATGAAATTCTCTATCAGGCTTATCTACTATCCCGTTTTTCTGCTACAATAATCCTGCACTTCTAGGCTCCTTCTGTTTTCAGATATACTTCTAATTTTTAGTAACTGTGAAGATTCAGAAAAGTCAAACGGTGACCGGAGGCTCTAACTTTTCCTCTGCGTTTCTCCCGAGCCTCCCAGGTAGAGTCACTTCCTCCAAACAAGCCAACAGCCCCTTGGAACTTATAAACTGGAGGAAGCAGTGAGGCCTCAAAAAACCTTCCTGTAGGACATGAACTCTATCTGCCCTTGGCTGCTACAGGGCTCCCAAGGTATGCTCGAGGTTAATGAAAGCTGCCAGCAAACAACAGCAACCCTCCAGGGGCCCCACATTTTAGTGGGAAAATACCTGGGGGTAGAGAGCACAGATGAGACCAGTACAGACAAGTCACCCCGACGCAGCCATGAGATTCTCGAGCCAGCACGGAAGGGCAGCACCCGCTGGGTTATGATACATGCGTGGTTCAGTCTAGACAACTGTCTACGGTAACCCTCACGCACACGACATTTGAGGACAAACTAAGCTGAACTAGGGAAGGAAGCCAAGGAGGGTTCACGCCGTCCCCTCTTGAAGGTAAACTGAAAGGAGTGTTCTTCGCCTACAGATTGACTCCACTCCGTTTTAGTAATTAAACCTTCCTGAGCACTGTTCAGGAAGGGCAGCCCCCTGCCAGGGACCATTCTGAAATGTGGGGTGCATTCCGGGCTGTTACAGAGATGGGGGAGTCCCACTAGCACAAGCAGGCAGGGGCATGCAGGAAGTAAGTGAAGTCCCACGTCCACATGGGCCAACACCCCAGCCAGGAGATTACTGGCAGTTTTCATGGACGTGACATTTTCCAGGAACACAACTACTGTGTAAATCCAGAGAGGACCAGAATGTCACCAAAAGTAGTCCCCCATGAGGACATCACACCCCTGATGGTAAAGTGTGTGCGTGGGACTGAGCTCTGGACACCAGGCCACGTCCCACGCGGCGAGGCTCACAGCAAACCTGCGCAGGGGGATGCGCACTCGTGGGGCCGCCTGGATGTGTGCAAACGAAACACCACCAAGTGGTATGTTCCGGTCTTTCATTCCCATTACATTACACTCAGGCAATGTACCGATTTAAAAAAGCAAACCAAAGCATTCAATGTAGAGGAAGACTGTCTTATCTATGAATGCAATTTCAGAATTCTAGAAGCAGCAGAACAAAATATTTGCAACTCGATGGAGCCGAGAAGCCCTGCCCTACAACCTTGGGAGTCTTCACGTTTGTCACTGGAAGGCTAGGTGTCAGATTTGGAAGGGGGCCACAAAATCATTCCAGGATTCAAAAGGCCCACGATGAGACATGCGCAGTGTTAAGGCAGCAGCATGTGCACGGACACAGTCACAGTGTCCTTTCCTGCGCTGTCTCACCTGGTTTCTTCTGTCGAGCCTTTCCCTTTGTTGCCGAGTTTGCAAGTCTCTAAGGTTTTGTCTTCTAGGGGAGGTGGCAGAGGAGCGGGCATCAACTGCAATAAAAAACAGTGTTTCACTTCTTGCTGCCACTGGGCACCCCCTGATCTCCAGCCAGCGAGCGGCTGGACGTGAGAGTCAAGCACAGCCCGCCCCCCGCCACCCTCCAGGGCCACCCCAACACACTCACCTTTCCAGGCAGACCGTTCACCTTAGAAAAGGGATTTTCTGCGTGTAGGGCGGGCGGGACTTGGCAACTGGCACCAGCACAAGACAGACCGTTCTCCTTCAGGTCGCCGTCCGTGCTGTCAGCACCGTTTAGGGCTAGGGGCTCGTGAAGCCCGAGCGGAGAGGCCTCGTCATCTTCCGCATCCTGCACAGAAGAGTTCGAGCTCTCGGTCGTGCCGAGACCGTTCTCCTTGCCTAGGCCCTTCGCCTCCTCGTCAGACTCTTCGGACGACTCGGCGCCATAGGGCACCAGGACGCTGGAGTTCAGCTTGGACTTGCCGTTCATCACCGGCGTGGGGCAGGACTCGCTCGGGGCCGTCTGCTTTGTGACTTGACCAGGACCCGCCGTCGCAGGTGCGCTCGAGGTAGACTGTATTGCAGAAGAGTTGGTAACAGTGGAAGAGGGAACGGGCTTGGTTGGGTTCTCCAAAGAACCGCTGTGAAGGTTAGGCTGCGACTGGCCTTGGCGGACAGGTAACTTGTTGTGAATACTGATCGTGATTTTTTGTTTCTTGGGATGTTCTGGAATCACTGAGGGCCTGTTAACGGACCAGTTTTGAACAGAAGTCGAAGCATTAACAGAACCGGCCCGGCTGACACTGGAATTTCCACTAGGACTCGACATGGAACTACTTGGTGCTTCTTTCAATGGCCCGGTCCCATTTAAGTGAGGTGGGTTCTGGAAGAAAGAAGACCCCAGCTGGTGAGAGCCCCAGAACGGTCACAAAGAATCCACTCTGGCTGGGGGCGGGGGGGGCGGAGCTTCCCACTTTGCTCATCCTTTTCTTTTTTGGAATATCAGGTTTCCCACACCTAGGAACACCACCTCCTCTCGTCTGTCCCTGACCACCATAAACCTTTCATGGGCCCGTGTTTTCTGGTAAGTAATCAACAACTATTTCTGTCCGAGAACAAATTCTTTCTGCTCCTATCTGAAAGAAAAGAACAGGCCCCTTGGGCACAGAGTCACATATGTTTTCCTTGGCTGGGTTTCTTGGAAGCCCGCTGCTCTACAGGTGGAAGAAAGTGCCAGCTTGTGGGGAATGACCACTGGCCAAGGGAGACGGGGGGCACGGGCAGACACAGAGCTGCTCTGGGCGCCGTTCCCCCCGCTCCATGTCCCCTCTGAATCTTACTCATGAACTGTTCTGCTCCAGACTCCACCTCTGCTGCTCTATCCTAGAGGGGCAAACTGGTGGCCGTGGGTGAGATCTCATTCACAGAGGGGTTCTGCACGGCCTTCACAGTTTTCTTAAATACCTGAATTAGTTGCTATCTTAACACTAGAAGGTTTCACATGAAGGAAAACAAAAAACCTTGAAAAAAATCAGTCTTAGCCGCGCCTCTACACAGGGCACATGCTCTCCAGCGGCCCAGGGTCCTGATGTCACTATTAAGCAGGGTCCAGTGCAGGAGCCCATTCCCTGCCCAGCTCCCAGAGGCATTTGATTTCTGACTCCAGCTGGAACCAAACACTGTCCAATGTCCATAAAAAACAGCACAGAATAGACCATCTGCTGATTCAAAACAAATCACACTCGAGTGGAAAGGCTGTTACAGCACTATGGTATGGAGGGGGGGGCTGCTTCCACACACGGACAGGTTGTCCATAATCACTGCATAAGGCCAGCGGATGTCCGGCCTTCCCTCCTGAAGCCCTGTGTGTCACGTGACCCAGCCATCCCACCAATTCTTCCGGAGAGGCCAGCAGGAGGTGCATCTGACCCGCTGGATGGGAGACAGGACACATCACACTACTGAAAGGACTACATGGACACACTGAAAATATGCTTTCTGTGAGTCACTTTCTTGTTTCTAGTATTCATCAAGAATCCCCAAATATTTAGTCCACTCTGAACGGAAGTCCAAAGTGAGAGCTAAAATCTCTAGGTTTTAGGGGCGCCTGGGTGGCTCAGTCAGTTAAGCGTCTATCTTCTGCTCAGGTCATGATCCCGGAGTCCTGGGATTGAGTCCCACACTGGGCTCCTTGCTCAGCAGAGAGCCTGCTTCTCCCTCTCGCCCTGCTCATGTGCTCTATCTCTCGCTCACTCTGTCTCTCAAATAAATAAAATCTTGATAAATAAACAGAATAAAATAAAACCTCTAGTGTTTAAATATACCTATACCCAGACTTTCTTCTTGTTCATTACATTCATACTCTGAGATCTTCTGTATATTTGAAATACTTTATAATTAATGGCTTGAATAAAATCTTGACAAGAAATGCAGTCATACGAGGACACGGCGGCTACTGCAGTGTGACCCAGAGGCTTTAACAATACCCAAGTTAGCACAGAGATTGCATCCTACCTCTGGAATGTTACCTTTATCACGTGAGAGGGGAGTTGTGGTCCGATAAACCCTGACGCAGCCTGTTTGTTGTTGACAACGCGCTGGCTGATCACGGGTCGGGGCGAGGACTGGCCGGGGCTGTGAGTGGGATGAGTGAGTTCACCTCCATTTTTCACATCGTGGGACCTAGGGACAAAGAGGGACAGCACTTAGGGCTTCATAGGGCACGTCCTTCGAAGAGAGTCATTACAGACTGAGGACCTGCAGTGCACAGAGCTACGTACACAGAGGATCCCCTCTGGGTCAAGGCTAGTGGCACAGCTGCTCCCACGGGGAGACAAGACAGACACCATGCAAGTGGCATTTGTGGCTCTGTGTCCCGGAGATGCCACCACCTGAAAGCAATTCTTCTTTTCTGTTTATATTTCTCTAATTATAAGTACGTGCCGTTATATAGGAAGTCCGTATCTAGAAGTTAGAAACACAAACACGGCGCCTCATCTCACCCATGAGGGGCGTCGACTATTTAGATTTGTTGGAATATCCTTCAGGCTTCAGCCTGTACTATTTTTTTCAATTCCAGTGTAAAAGATTTCAAACTGCTTTTTCTCCATATACACAGGATATATGGATACAATGATACAAGAGCACTTTCTTGTATCATTTAGGGGGGAAAAAAGGCATCATAAAAATCATTTTTAACAGCTATGTAATAGTCCAACACATGGATATGCTACAATTTACATGCTCATTCTGCTAATATTGGAAATTTTAGGATTTTTTTTTTAAGATTTTGAGAGCGAGCGAGCGCACGAGCAGGGGGGAGGGGCAGAGGGAGAGGAGGAAGCAGGCTCTCTGCTGAGCAGGGAGCCCGATGCGGGGCTCGATCCCAGGACCCTGAGATCATGACCTGAGCTGAAGGCAGATGCTTAACGACTGAGCCACCCAGGCACCCCAGAAATTTTAGAATGTTCTTAATTTTCAGCTACTATAAATGAATACCTTGGAGCACACATCAGACTTTTGCTCAGACCACACATTTCCAGAAATGGAATTAGTGAGTCGGAATATGCAGCAGCAACGGGAGGCAAATGAGCAGGTGTCGAGCCAGGCCTGGCTCAGGAAGGTGACTAGCTGCCTGTGCTCAGTGGTTGAGAGGTGACCACACCCAGGTCCTCAGAGGCCCCTTCCTGAGGCCTCCTCTGCCCCCAGCCCCCACCGTGTGCTGCCACCAGCAGCCTACCCTCTGCCATCACCATGCGCTTTCTCTGCATGCTTCATTATCAACTTGCCAAGGAGCTGGAAGCTAAATCCAACTCCTAATCCCTGCCCAAAAACTACCTCCCTTACTCTGTTGGCATCCTTAAGCTGCTGTTTCAGAAATAACCGAATACTGAATTTAAATATGTTGATGAGATGAAGAGAAATGACATAACAGAAAATGTGAAAATCTGTTTTCCTGATGATACCTGATATAAAAGAGAACATAAGCTTGTTGACTGAGTACCGATCTAATATCACTGGTAGATACGATGGAGTCATTCATTTGATACCAGAGGCCATTGCTAGCCTGCAAAAGAGAGCCAACAAAAGAGAAATTAGATATAATTAGACAAAGAGAGAACACCAATCAAGAGAAATGTAAGAAAAATGGGCTTTCAGATTTTCACTGTAAAGTCCCACCTAGCCCCCCAAGAGCGCCAGTGCTACCTTAGAGGCTACTTCAAAAACAGTCACCAAAACCCGCACAGCTTACTTTGATGTAGCAGAAGTAATGGCCGGCGTGGCAGTTAAAGCCAGTGTGTACCAGCACTGCGTACAGGACATAGATAATCGGTTCTCCGTTCGGTTGAGACATGTACGGTCGAATATCAAGGTATTCAGGATATTTCACATCCTAAACAGAAATGCAAAGAGGATCAAGGAACGTCACTTCTGAAGGCCCAGATCATTCCGCATATCCTCGTGGAGACCCAAGTGCAGGACTTTGTGCCCTCAGATGTTCCAGCAGAAACCTAACACACTGAACCACATTTCAAAAGACACGATCAGGGGCGCCTGGGTTGGCTCAGTCGTTAAGCGTCTGCCTTCGGCTCAGGTCATGATCCCGCGGTTGTGGGATTGAGCCCCTCATCGGGCTCCCTGCTCGGCGGGAGGCCTGCTTCTCCCCCCCACCTACTCCCCCTGCTTGTGTTCCCTCTCTCGCTGTCTCTCTCTGTCTCTCTGTCAGATAAATAAAAATAATAAAAAAAAAATAGCTAACATTAAAAAAAAACAAAACAAAAAAACAAAAGACACGATCAGCCTGGAGCCACCCTAAACTCACACATACTTAGTGCACTCCCAACTGTATTCCTGATTTCCTTGAAGCAAACAAGGCTCTACGTTAAGTGAACCTGAGTTGGCCACAGGACACAATCGAATGCTAATTCTGGACTTCGGCCTCACTTAGTTTTACTACTTTGGGAAGGGATTGTTTGGATCTCTTGCATACTACTGATTTCTGATACTTCCAGTCTTCAGGAAGTGGAAAGAAAGTATGAAAATTCAGTGTGCTACCCTCAGAAAACCTCAACAAACAGGAAAACCAACCCTGACAAAAGAGTGTGAGATCCAGCAGGGGCGCATCTTCTTCAGATTTCAAATGACACCAGCTCTCCCTGTATCTCCCCACTTTCCCTGACCATGAAGCCCAAGTGCAGATCACAGTTACCAGTTTTATCATCAGAAAGTCTAACCAGCTAAAGAAGAGAGAAACTATACTCATGAACACACATAACACACTACCACTAGCTCAACGCTCTGACGTATTTTCCCCCAATAAATACTAGAAGAACTTAGGAAATCGGGTAACAAACTGTTCAATTAGGTTGTTTATAACCCTTGATAGTTACCTACGCATAAGCCTTGAGAGAGACAACATAAAAGGTTATTAATATTATCAACATACCTTAGCAATTTTTCCACCAGTAAAATTTGCAAAACGTTTCAGAGAAAGTGTAAGAACGTTAGAGGATCTGTGTATAGTGAACCTCTTTGAAGCTGGAACCATCTTTTTACACCTTGAAATAAAAAGAAACAAAGGACTAAGACTTATATATTTTTTCGTCTTTCCCTTGTTATTTCCTTGAAACATTTCTCCCACCAAACCTAAAAGAAAGCTACTAGCTAAAAAACACCACCCCTCTCAACCACCGGTGAAAACACTAAAATTATGACAGGGGGAGATTGCTCAATTAACATGGAAGAAAAAAAGGAAGCTAGGACAGTTTCTGAGAAGCCACATAGCCACTGATAATTTTAAAATTAGGTGAATACAGACTTCTCTCAATTCAAAACAAAGTGACCATCCATGGAGCTTAGAACAGGGAAAGTGCCTGTGGTCGTGGGGAGCTTTCTTCCCCCAAGACATGAGTATTTGGTAACGATCACCCATAGTACCTGATTCTAAAATGTAAATTTACTAAAACATGTGAAACAGGACTTTCTTCAAATAGAGGCTCTCTTGACTTCACAGGGAAACACAGCAATGAATCATCAGTACTAGAGGTTTCCAGCAGATACCACCCTGAATCCTGGGTGAGAACCGGATGAGCGAGCAAGAGCCTTAACTGCGCTGGGAGAAAGCGAGCCCCACTCCATCACCGCCTCTCCTAACAAGGAGTCCATGAAAACGCTGCTCACCACGTGTGTCCCCTGGGCCACACAAGGCGCAGCAGCTACCACGGGCCGTCCCCCGCAAACCTTCCCAGTCATGGAGCACCGAGCCTCCCCAGGGCAGAGGTGCGCGCCTCTCAAGAGTGTAAACCTGTAGACACTGAGCACTCCGGCCCCGGGAGCACGGAGACCCTGTGTCCTCCCACACAGCACAGAAGCTAACAGGAGTCTCGTGGGGGACAGGGGGGTGTTCCTGAGACACCCCCAACCCCGACGCAAGCCACCCCACCGCCACATCCTCTTACTTGCTGCACTTATAAGAGTTTTCCCCGTCGAGCTGCTCCGGCTTCACAAACTGCTCCAATGCCTTGTTCACACTCTGAGCGGCCTGCAAGAGAAGGACAGCGTCAGCACCACGGGCCCTCTCACTGCCCCTGACCGAAGGAAGAAGAGACGACTCAAAGGTCTAGACGCCAATATGAATTTTTATGTAGAAGGAAATTTCTCTTTTATTACGATGTTGACTTTTATACATGTACCCATCCAATTATTGTCCCCTTGTTAAAAACCATGCAGATCAAAGTGAACGACCTGTAAAAAGTTCCTCACTGCAGCATTTTCAAAAAGAGCATAAAACTGGAAACAAACCAAATACCCATCAGCAAGGAAAGGGGCATGTGCATGGTGGTGCTCATGCTCAGGGGGCCGCCACATGACTGTCAAGGTCCGGGCGCACAGAGAAGCCACCGAGCAGAACTACGGGAAAGGTGGCAAGTGGCTAAACAGGCCTAAGGTGTAATCACATTTTTATAAGCAATAAATAATGGGTTCTGGAACAGTCTCTATCAAATGGTTTTGTTTTTTTTTAAGATTTTCTTTTATTTTATTTTATTTGACAGAGAGAGAGAGACAGCGAGAGAGGGAACACAAGCAGGGGGGAGTGGGAGAGGGAGAAGAGGCTTCCCGCCGAGCAGGGAGCCCGATGTGGGGCTCGATCCCAGGACCCTGGGATCATGACCTGAGCTGAAGGCAGATGCTTAACGACTGAGCCACCCAGGCGCCCCCAGTTTATATCAAATTGTTAAGGGTTCATCCTGAGGAATGGGACCCTCTACACATCTGCAACGTTCATTTCTATCCTAAACATGTATTACATTTGTAATTGGAAAAATAAAAGCTTAAAAAATAGGAGCTTAGAAAATGCTAGAAATAAAAGTTTCTAAACAATGACAATCATCTAAATTGGGTTAATGCAGACATCAAATTCTGGTTTTATCACAATCTATCAAGTGAAAAGTCAAAGGGCAAGAAAAAGTCTGTACGCACCCTGCTACAAATCTTATTATCCCCTCTGAATACAGTTGTGGCATATGAACGGTTTCAATTTGTAGTCTCTAGCAAGTGTAGTCTAAGTTTATAAATGAACTACAGATAAAGTTACACAAAGTCTGTCTTTTTCTAACCTCGCCACCACAATTAGCAAACGTACCTTTATCTCCAACGTTATATCAAGATATGGATCGAACGTATCTGAGACACCTTTGCAATTTAAACACTTGACTGAAATGAAAATGAAACGCAAAGAATAAGCAAAGTGTAATCCTTATGCAATACCAACTACTGAAATAACAGAACACAAAAATATTATATGAAAATAAAAAATTAAAACAAAGTACATTTTTCAGATTGGGCAAAAAAATGTTAATACCACACACAGTGTGAGCCCAAGTGTCATGAATGCAGCCCACATTTGTTGTTGGTTGGAATGTAAACTGGTATAACCTCCTGGAAGGATGATCTGGAGTATCAGAATTTAAAACACACGTACCCTTTAATGCAGAAATTCTAAGAACTCATCCTACTTAGACACTTTTACATGAACATAAAGGCACTGTATAAGAAAGTGCCATGAATGACTAATAGTAATAACAACACTGAAGAATTAGAAACAACCTCAATATCCACTGTTAGGGGACTCAAATAAGTGGAATTCTTCTTCCAGCCGTGAAAGACCGTATTACCTACATGTACTGACATGTAAAAAGGCTTCTCACGTTAAGAGAAGAAGGAAAGAGATCCATCTGACACACCGCAGTCTGCTCGTGCGCAGGGAGGCCCTGGAAGGCTATACTCTAAAGTGGGGCAGGGGCTGCCTTTGGGGGGCTAAGGGAGACACAGGCTCCACTGCTGACCCTCTCCTCCTGCACTTCAACCGCGCGCATGTGCCTCCTTATCAACCTGACAGACGACGTTACCTCTAGATCTCAGGTATCCTCCAAATATCTGACAAACGAGGGTGGTAGCCTGGGTGTGTCTGTCTAATCTGAAAGACAAACAGGGATGTGAGACAAGAGTTCTACGATAATTATAGATGCTGTGACCGAATTTTAAAAGCTATAAAATAACAAAAATCTATAAAAGAACAAGAATCCAAACAGGAAGCCACGAAAGAAAGGGACATCAGTATGCATGGCAGCCAGAGAATTATCTTGCCTGGACCAGACCACAGTGAGGGTCTGGGGAGAGGCAGAAAGAGGCAGGAGAGTAGTGACAGAGAGCTGACACTGAGGCAGGGATTTGGCCCAGAAGCAAGCAGCGAGGCTGTGACACAGGGTGTGTGTGGACCGGCTGGCGAAGGCAGGGAGAGCAGAGCGTTCTTCTCTGCTCTGGGGTCCGTCATCCAAGCAAGCAGAGGCAAGACAGCGCCAGCGACAGTGGGAGCAGAACAGGAGATCTACCAGGTGTGTTCAGGCAATGCAAGTGGGTTAGGGTTTGGTATCTAGTTCTCCTCGAAATCTTCCCCTTGAGTCTGCATTTAGACTTTAAGGAAGAAACTCCAGGAACTGGTAACTGACCAGACTAAGAAAGATTCAGGGAACACACACAGATTTCAGAGGCTGGAGAGGAGCAGAAAAAATGCTGGGCACAACTAGAAAGAAAAAGTGGTTAGTTTTAGATCTGCAAAGGCGATGCTGATACTCAGAAACTGAGTAATGGCAAAACCAATCCCCAATTCCTGACATCTGTAATTAAATCCACATTGTTATAGTAAGCACACCCTTAAAATTTTTCAATCATTTTAAAATGATGGAAATCACTTGAGGTAGAGGCAGTGCAAAGTCAAAGTGAAGCAAACACAGAGCTCTGGGCATTCATTGTAAAAGGCAAAAGTGAACTCCAGTAAGCCAGCGATGCCAAGGGAAGAAGTGACCAATGCTTTACTGTACTCACTTATTGCTGCCATTCAAGCATGCTTTTTGCATAGCATCAACAGTGTATTGAAGGAATTCGTGGGCATCTTCTTGGTTTCCAAAGCGGAAGTGCCTAGCTATACCTGTGAAGTTTAAGTAAAGACAAAGCTTTATCATCACATGGGATACGCCCCGGCTGTACCCCCCCGACATTCTATCTAATGACCATCTGTCAGTTAGAATACACCTGCTAATTATTTTATGAGGACGTAGCACTAACACACACTATCCTGAGAACAGCGAGGACCACGCCCTTTAGACCATTACAAGTGCACATGGCCTAGAGCTCCTGAGAGCCCAGAGACTCCAGGTCTGCAGGAAGTTAATAAAACTGTACTTGAATAAATTCAACTTTAGCTGTATTGTCTCAAAAATTTGTTCAAAACGTTATGTTTGTTCGAAAGGTGATGTTAGCGCACACAATCTTAAATTCAGTGCTAGATCTCCCTAAGAGAATCCACAGCAAACATAAATGTCTGAACCCATCTCGGTTCTGTCTCAACAACCCCACAGAATACACTATGTGCTCAGCATCTCTGCAGCCTTGTTTCTAACGGACTAAATGGCTGCAAGACAAAATGACATAATAAAAAACAACAGCGGGGCACCTGGGTGGCTCGGTTGGTTAAGCGACTGCCTTCAGCTCAGGTCATGATCCCAGAGTCCTGGGATCGAGTCCCGCATCAGGCTCCCTGCTCAGCGGGGAGTCTGCTTCTCCCTCTGACCCTCCCCCTTCTCATGCTCTCTCTCATTCTCTCTCAAATAAAAATCTTTAAAAACAAACAAAAAATAGCATAGACAATGTCACAATAAAACATGAATAGAGCAATTTCTATACATGAATATACAGAAATACATACTAGCTTGAGTCATACGAAACTGCCCGTATTCCGCCAGTTTTGTCTATAAAAATGGCAATCTCATGATCCTGCCACGTGTGTGGGGTTATGTGAGCTCATGGATATATGTGCACACAAACAGCGATGACCTTTTCTTAAAGTCTAGTTTTAAAAATAATTAATCTTTCCTTATATGTAAAAAATAAAACAAACAAAATTTCCCCTGACTAAAATTCTGCCAGGATCCAACACAGCTTAAAAAATGTTTGCGTTGTCTCCTCTGGCCTGTTAATACTGCCGAGGGCCAACAGAACACCTCTTAATCTTCGGCAGCTTTTTAGGCAAAAGGATTATAGATTGTCACTGTATAATTATCCACCCCTGTAATTACCCTGCTAGATTCCAGATTAACAGTTAGGGTTTCTTTTTTATTTGCATGCATTTTTTTCCTTCTAACTCAGTTAATTAAGATGATGTAAAAGTTTATTACAAAACCACATAGAAAGTGCATTAAGGCATTTCACGTACCTTACTGGGGTCATTGTAATGCAAAAGAAAATTTTCAAGTCATTTAAAAATTAAACAGAGAAAGTGAAATTTATCCACAAGTTTGCTGTCATGAGTTTAAATGTTGCTTTAAGAGTGTAATTAACTTTAGTTTGATCATTCCTAACGCTATACACAGCATAATGCTCATTCACTGAATTAAAACCAATTCAAAACTATTTAAAGAAATCTGTGGGACAATATTATAGTATAACTCAGCATAGTAATCCAAATAGCTAGTGGAAAAAATCATTGTAAAACTTATCAATGAATTTATGAACAAAGTGAGTTTTTTTTTTTTTTAAGATTTTATTTATTTACTTGAGAAGGAGAGAGCGAGCGAGCGAGCGAGCAAGCACAAGCAGGGGGAGTGGCAGGCAGAGAGAGAAGCAGGCTCCCCACTGAGCAGGGAGCCCGACACAGGGCTGGATCCCAGGACTCCGAGACCACAACCCGAGCCAAAGGCAGATGTTTAACCAAATGAGCCACCCAGGCACCCCTAACAAAGTGAGTTTTTAAAATTTTTAAATCTGTGGGGCGCCTGAGTGGCTCAGTCAGTTTAATGTCTTACTCTTGATCTCAGCTCAGATCTTGATCTCACAGTTGTGAGTTTGAGCCCCGTGTTGGGCTCCGCACTGGCGTGGAACCTACTTTAAAAAAAAAATTAATTTGCTTGTATTAAACTGAATACCTTATTATATTGTCATCTTTTGTGGTTTCAAAGTGTATTTCTATACTAAATGTTTTACTAAAGATTTGTTATCAATTAAAGCCATACCCACGTATGATAAAACATGTTTGTTTTCTACAATACACCAGGAGCTTATCTTTTACCAGTTAGGCCATTAAGACCAATTACCTAATAAACACTAACATAAACTACTACAGATGATACTTACGCCGCATCTCATTAATGACAAACATAGGCTTAATAACATCCCCAGGATTACTGAGTGCCTGAGTGATATGTGCTTGCATTGTACACATCATACAAAATCCTTCTGCATGACCTGAAAGATAAGACCATAGTCCTCCAAATTAGCAAAATATGACTTCATACAGACATCACAGAATATTTTAAATAAGGGGCACAAACCTGAAGTGAAGTAACAACAATAGCTACTGTGTGTCACACCTTGAACTACATACTTTCATTCATTTTCATTTAATTCTCTAACAAACCCAAGTGATAAGTATATACTGGCTCA